TAATAATTTCTCTGTTGTATACTTAGCCTTGTTTGTATTAATCTAAATGATAAAAATATTACATTGTGAAAAGTAAAATTCACCTGTGTTAATTAATAGTAATAGTAAGTAGTTAAAACAAAAAGTAATCATATAAAACAAAAAAAAAATTAATAGCCTAACTACTTAGGACTGCGCCTGGGTCCAGATGTAAATCACTGCCCTGTCAATGATAAGCTAAACCTATAAGCAAGCTGATTTCTTCACTGATGTTCGCCATTCCTATGCCTTTAGAAAACATATATATACTGGTCACCAACTCAAATAAAATGACACTCAGATTTTCACTCTTGAAGTGTGTCTGATTGTCATTTCTTTAACCGAATCCCTGACCACCCTGCGCAGTCTCTCAACCCTGAGACGGCCTCATCGCTCACTGCTGTGCTGGTCCGCGGCAGGAGACAGAGGGAGAGAGAGGGAGAAATTTTTTTTTTTTAATAGAGGCATTTTTTTTTTTAATTTATTTGTTTGTTTGCTTGTTTGTTTATACAAGCACTGGGTACAGTCAGAAGCATGGGAGGGTGAGAGGATTCACCAGAGCCAGAGCGGGGAGCAGAGCAGCCAGAAGGACCGAAGTACACTGCTGAGGGGAGCAGCGGGCGGCAGGAGAGGTCTGCGCGCCATGGGGACCCTCCTCCCGTGGCCGGGGAGCAGCCGGGGATCGAACCGGCGCTGCAGAGGCTGCGGGCAGCTTCGCAACCCAGCGCTCAACCGCTGCGCCACCGGGGAGGCCCAAGAGAGGGAGAAATTTTAATGAATTGACTCATGTGATTGTGGAACTGGTTGGTAAGTCCAAAGTGTGCGGGGCCGGCCAGCAGGCTAGAGACCCAGGAAAGGGTCGATGCAGCAGTTCAAATCTGAAGGCCACCTGCTGGCAGAATTCCTTCTTGTTCACAGGCGCTCAGTCTTTTTCTCTTGAGGCTTCAACTGATTAGACACAGCCCACCTACATTGACATAATAATTGCTTACCTCGAATCTACCGACTCGTACTCTCATCTAAAAAAACACATCACAGCAATTTTGCGTGTGAGCAAGCCTGAGTACCACGCCGAGCCGAGTGACGCACAGACGTAGGTGTCACAGCTGCTGTATTTTCTGGCATACTCAGATTGGTGACGACTGAATCTTCGCAGGTTATACCTACCGCCGCGCCGTGATATCCCGCTGTGTTCCTGGGAACACTCTCTGCCTTGAATCCTTCTTGGTGCAGTATTAATTTCCCATTCTTGTTGTTTTTATTTCAATTATTCAATGCTATCCACTTGGAACTTCTCTTTGTATTTTTTGGTGCATTTCTTGTGACACTTAACTGGAATTTTTTTTAACTCTAATCTTAACGGCTTGTGATGGGAAATTCAGACGACTCACCGTTCTCTGGAAAGCTGATCACCTGGTCTCATGTATTCCATCTCATTTTGTTTACTTCTATGAAAGTGTTTTCCTTTTTTGTCCCCATTCCTCACTCTTGCCTCTTTGCTCACCCCAGCTCCACCCACATTCCACCCCTGTCCCTTTCCACTGGTCATGCTTCCAATTCCTGGCAGGCACAGCTACACCACTTTCTCCCTGCTGACAAGTAAAAATAAAAGGTAACGCCTGCCCCCCTTGGGAGAGTCTCCTCCCCACCCTCCCGAAGCAGACCCCACCGACCTCCAGCCCCTGCGCTGAGCCCAGGATGTCGACTTCTCCACTCCGGCCCTTGCTCTCTCTCCATCCTGGCTTTGCCACATCTGCTTCTATGTCTTACTCCCAGGTGACTACGGGGCTCCCTTGCGGGATGTGGCCCATGTTCCATGAATCCTTACTCAGCAGTGGCCGGACGAAGAAGCCCAGGCGTGTGCAGAGCAACCTTGTATTTTGCAAGAGCGGCCTCACCCAACCCCGCCTGCTGTCCTCCCGGTCAGCCAGTTTCCTAATCTCCACTGGCCCGGATGTCTGGCTAGAGGATTGTCCGGGGCCTCAACTGGGAGAAATATGTAATAGATAGAAACCGCTGTGCCTGCCGGGTTGGATATTTTCTTTTGCCGTGACAGGTAAATTCTGTCGTTGCAGGGGCTGGAAGGGCACCGCGACCCCATCGCCGGGCCGGGGAATCTGGCTCCAACTGGGCAGGGTCCGCATGACTTCAGCCCAGGCACTTCCTGCCAGCGCTTCTTTCCCTGTTTCTCCCCCAGCTGCCAGGCGCGCCTGCCCTGGCTCCCTGTGTCTCCTGGGAGCGGCCCAGCAGCCTGTCCTTTTCCTGGGAATTTCATGTGCTTTCTTTCCCGTTATAAGGCATTTACTCCCTGCTAACATCCCATTTGCTGTTTTTCCTCACCTCAGTGGTTCTCATCCTGAATTTTCCGATGACTGTGGGTTTTCTGGGTCCATGACTGTGTGAGCTCCTTCTCTGTTGGCAGAGGGCCCTAAGCAGCTCACAGAGGGTCATCGTCTCTTTCCCCGGGTCTCCCAGGAGGCAGTGTGCAATCCGCGCCCCTTCCTCTTTCTGAGTCCCCATAAAGGGCTTGGGGAACAACCTGGCCTCTGTGGTTGTGTGTTCAGGGTACAGAAGGGCCAGGTCATGGTGGTCGCCTGGGCTTGGCGGGTGACAAGCCGCTGATGTCCTGTGGGATGTGGTGAACAGACTGGCAAAGCTGCTGAGGAGCTGGCGGCCTCTCGGCTCTGGGCCTCGGGAGGGCTGCTGGTGCCCACCCTGGGCTGGGGGAGCCGTCCAGAGAGGACCCCACCTCCACGCTGGAAGAGGGGAGGGGGGAAGAGAGGGTGGGCTGGAAATCAGAGACACTCCTTTCACTGGTTTCCAAAGAACCTCCAAGAGCCCAGTAAATAAATGAGAGAGAGAAAGAGAGAGAGAGAGAGAGAGAGAGAGAGAGGATGTTTCCAAATTAAGAAACACAAAATGCCCACATTTGCAAGTCACCATAGAAGTGCAAATTATGAGAGATCACTTTTTCATTCACCATCTTGGGAAAGGTAAGCCAACCACGCAACAAAAGGGGAGTTCTAACTCCAGGTCTTCACTCTGATGAAATAGTCACTCATGTTCAGTGATTTTTTAGGGGGAGGGGCTTTTATCAACCTTCATGCACCCAAAAATGTGAAGAGTAATAGTACCGGAACGGTTTCTCCCCCTTCTACTGTTGTAACTCTCTGTGCCTTCTGTCACTGATCTCTGACGGGAAGGAGCTCTGTGTGACTTTATGCAAATAACTGCCTGTGTCTGAGCCTCGGTTTTCTCATCAGTAAAAATAAGCCTATGGGGCTTCCCTGGTCGGTCAAAGGGTTAAGCACAGCACTGTGAAGCTGTCCACAGCCACTGCAGCAGGAGTTCGATCCCCGGCCAGGGAGCTACCCACATGGCGCAGCAGACCTCTCCTGACTCGCCCGCTGCTCCCCTCAGCAGTGGATTTCAGTAGATCCCCCTGCTCTGCTCCCCACTCTGTCTCTGGTGAATCCTCTCACGTCCCCCACTTCTGGCCTGTACCCCAGCTCTTGTGTGCATAAATAAATAAATCTTTTTAAAAAAAAATAAGCCAATACCACCTGCATCACTGGGTCAGTCACTGGGTGAGGAGCAACACCTCCATGTGAAAGTGCCCTCCGCCCACCCTGGGCCGGCCATGCCCCTCCTTCACCCTCTGGGAGCTCCCACTGTCAGATGCAGGGTGAGGGGGGGGAAGGTGGCCAATCTGAACCCCGCAACTCTGAAAAAGCCCCGGGACTGTGTGACCAGTGGATAGAGCTGCTCTCCAAGGCCATCTGCAAGCTCCACTCCACAGTTTGGTGACATTGCCTGCAAGCCAGTCCTGCAGTGACAACCCAGGGCAGGTTTTTCCTCTGGTGGCTGCGAGGAGACAGCGGGCGTCCCTGGGCTCCAGCCGGCCGTTCCCAGAGCTGCCTCTGGACAGGCCCGCGTGCCCGCCTGCGGGAGCCGGGCCGGGCCAGGAGGGAGGCGGAGGGTCTCCCAGCCGCCCGGGACTGCACCAGCAGGGGCCTGCAGCAGCCCGGGCCTGCACCAGCGGGGGCCTGCACCAGCCTGGGCCTGCACCAATGGGGGCCTGCACCAGCGGGGGCCTGCACCAGCGGGGGCCTGCACCAGCCTGGGCCTGCACCAATGGGGGCCTGCACCAGCGGGGGCCTGCACCAGCCCGGGCCTGCACCAGCGGGGGCCTGCACCAGCCCGGGCCTGCAGCAGCGGGGGCCTGCACCAGCCTGGGCCTACACCAGCGGGGGCCTGCACCAGCCCGGGCCTGCACCAGCGGGGGCCTGTAGTCTTGCCTGCGCCCGCAGCACCTGCGGGCAGCGACCGCTGCACCTGGCTCGCGCATTCGCAGCGCGGGCTGCGCGGGTGTCCGGCCGGGGAAGACCTCCCGGGCTGGCAGGCGCTCCACGGGCTGCGCAGCGCGCAGCAGCGATCGCAAGGCCTGAGGCTGGTTCTGGGCCAGGGAGGAGGGCGGGAGGCCGCGGGCCGGGCCAGGATCCCACCACCTGTCGCCCCGCGGGCCGTGCCCTGGCCCCTGGGGCGCGACTGCCTGAGGGCGCGCCCGGGCCGCGGCGGGCCTGGGGGGCAGGGCCTGGGGGGCGGGGCCGGGGGCCGGGAGGGGCGGGGCCGGGAGGGGCGGGGCCGGGAGGGGGCGGGCCCGAGTGCGTTCGGAACTTTTCGCTCCGGGCCGGCCGGGCGGCGCAGGGGACGAGTGGGCCGTAGCACGGCGAGGCGCGTCTTGATTGGCGGAAGGGCGCCGTGATGGACGGGGCCGCCGGCCGCTCAGAGGTTCGAGCCCGCGCCGCGTCCCCCGGGCCGCGTCGGGAGTGGAGCGCGGCCGGCGGCCCCGCCCCGCCCCGCCCCGCCCCGCCCCGCCCCCGCGCCCTGGGCCGCGCTCCGAGCTCCCACGGCCGCCGCGCAGCCGCTCCCGCCGCCCCGGCCCGGCGCCGCCCGCCCCGCGCAGCTCCCCGGCGGGCTCGGCCCCTCGCGGCGGGTGAGTCTCCGGGCCGGGGGGCGGGAGGCCGGGAGCGCGCCTCGCCTCAGGCTCCCCGCGAGCTGCCCGGCGTCGCCGCAGGCGCCCCAAGACCTGGGCCCCGGGGCCCGCCCGCCCCGCCACCCCGGGGCCCGTCGGGCCGGCTCGGGACTCGGGGCGGCCCTTCGGCCGCGGCGCCGGGAGGCTGGGGGCGCCGTCGCGGCCAGCCCCGTCCCGCCGGCGAGATTCGCCCGAAGCCCGCTGCGGCCGGGAGGCGGCCCGAGCGCCCGGCCCCCTCGAGCTCCAGCGGCGCCGGCCCCGGGGCCCCGGGGGAACGCCCGCCCCGGGAACCCCGCTCCCCCGGCCCCGGGGCGCCCGCCGGGAACCCCGCTCCCCCGGCCCCGGGGCGCCCGCGGGGAACCCCGCTCCCCCGGCCCCGGGGCGCCCGCCGGGAACCCCGCTCCCCCGGCCCCGGGGCGCCCGCGGGGAGCCCCGCCCTGCCCGGCAGTAACTTCAGTTTCTGTAGCTGAAGCTTCTGCGGAGCCGCCCGGCCCGGCCCTCCGGGTGTGACGGGGCCGTGTCCCCCCATCTTCCCCCCTCCATGGTTAGAACCCCGGGGGCGGCTCGGCCGGCACTAACTCTGCAGCCTCTGGAGCCGCTGGACGCCGCGGCCCGGCTCCGCGGGGCGGTCACCTGCCGGGATGATGCGGCTGATGGGGCAGAGCCCGATGGACGCCGGTCCCCGCCCCCCTCGGACAGTGGCCGGGCCTGCGGCCTCGGGCCGGGCTTTCCCTCTGCCGGACGGCCCCTCCTTTCAGGCAGGCTCTGGCCCCCCCAGGTAGGAGCCCCCCAGGTAGGACCAGACCCAGGGCCCCCTCCCAGCCAGCCCCAGCCAGGGCCGCACGTCCCACTGTCCCGCCTGCCCCCCTTTGTCTCGGGGCAGTGAGTCTCCCGGCCTCTGCCCCGGGATTTAGCTGGAGGCTCCTGGCCCCTTGGCCACCTGCTCCTTCGTCCTCCTGCCCCCTGGGGGACGCATCTCGGGCTTCCCCAGGGAGCATGGACAGCCCTCCACACAGGCCGGCGCTGGGCAGGCCTTGGCTTGTTTTCAGAGGGGACCCAGCTCAGTCCGGGACCCCAGAAATATCTGCACTGAGGGACAGTCCCTCAGTGGGGGTAAGAAGAATCATAATGTCAGGGGATCTCCTGCTTCATACAGTTCCTGCCCCCCTCCCCCCAGAAAGTGGCGCCCCGTGGCCCCAGCCACCACCATGGTCACTTGGTGTGCTGTCCTCCTGGCCCCGAGCGCTCAGACGCCAGCCCTGGGCCAGGCTCCTCACTGTCTCTGCATCGCTGCCCGGCCCTGCCCTCATCTCCCTGGTCTGTCCCCCACAGCCCAAGGGTTCCTTAGCTACCACCCTTCTGCTCTCCATGCCCAGCTCCCGGCCGCCCACTCAGCCCCTTCTCTCTTCGGTGCCCCTTCCCCAGCCTCGCTGCTCACCCGCCTGCCTCTCCCACGCCACTGCCTTTTCTCCCGGCCGGTCTTCCCCTCCCTGGCCTGCCCTCACCTGCTGTCCTGCAGGCGGGCTCAGGCCTCCTCTTCCAGAACCCCTGCTCTGTCCTTGGCTGCGGCTGAGTGAGGCCCCTCCTGTGCGCGAAGCCCCAGGTGCTGCTGCGACTTGGTTCTCTGCTCGGGATCTTTCCCATCCAGACCTAAGGCCGGCCTGTGCCAACCATCTCCAGGGCAGGGAGGCCCCGCCTGGCACAGGGTGTGCCCACAGGCCAGGTCCGATGCCCCCCAGCCAGGCTCACAGCAGATGGAGACTGGGTCAGGGAGGCAACTCCTGGCCGACCCTGGTCACTGCCCGGGGCATTCCCAGCTTAGTTCCTCTTTGTTCTGTGAACGTGGCACCCTGGCTAGAGCTGAAATGTCTCTTGCTTTGGCCTGTCATTCTCTGGGGCAAAAATAGGTAGCGGGGAGTCTCCAGGGCTTTGTGCCCTTGCCTTGAGGAGCAGCTCCGAGTGGGGGCTGGTCGGGCAGGGCCAGCTCAGAACAGGGGCCCGAGACCCTGGGACTCCCCCCTACCCCAGGCCCCGCTCCCTCAGGGCTCAGTCAAGATTGGGGTTTAAAATAACATTCTGTTGAACTCCCCAAACCTTGCATGTTCATTGCAGAAAATCGGGAACTACATTTTGAAAAAGAAAAACCGCTGTCACCCCTTCTCCCGGAGGCGGGCGGTGTTAACAGTTGGGGGCATCCCTCCATCTCTCTCTGCAGGTGGATTTTGTTTTCGTCCTAAGCAGACCCAGGATGACCGCTCTTGCCACTTTCAGTCCCACGCAGCAGTGCTCTGCAGACCCCCGCTGGTCGCTAACGCCCCGTACAAGGCCGTGGCCCGCAGCCCGCGTGGGGCTGGAACCTTCCTGGCGGCCTCCCTCCCTGCGTGGTGCCGGAAACTAGGGCTGCGATGGGCGCTCTGGGGTGTCCTGGGCACCTATGGGCTCCCCGGTTCTCCCCCTGCCTGGGGCCCAGTCGGTGAAGGCTCTGGTCAGAGGGTGGGTACCCCTAAAAGCTAGCCCCCGGGACAGCAGCTGGGGGGCGGCCCGAGCCAGGCTTCAGGGAGCGGGGTCCCTCCTGTCCTTCAGCCTGAGTCTTGGTAGACTGTGGGTCCCCCGGCCCAGCAGGGTGGCAGCCCCTCAGCTGAGCTCCCTGGGGCTGGCGGTTTGCGTCTGGATGGGATAAAAATGTGCCTGGTTCTCACGCGGAAAGAATGCGGCCGCCCGGCTTTTTGGATCTCACTCATGACGTCCCCCCACCCCCCCCACTCGGCCGCCAGGCGGCAGGTGGGGCCGGGCAGGGCCCGTCCAGGCAGCAGGCGGGTGGATTATGATGCTGCTGCCCTGGCTTGGGCTTGGGAGCCACTGGCTCGGGGTCACACGGCAGGATGGGGTGACCCGCTTTCCTCCTGAGGCCAGGCGGCCTCAAGGGCACCAGGGACGCCAGGCCATTCCCAAGTGCTGGGACGCGGCCCCTGCCTCCAGGGCGCCCCATGTCCCTGAGCGGAGCTGCACCAGCGGGGGAGGGGCCGGACTCCTGGTCCCCACCAGGCGAGCCACCCCGTGACTCACTTGGGTTGTTTTAAAATAACCAGCCCTTTGATCCCGGAAGGCCTTGACCAGATCTGGGGGACCTGAGAGCTGCTCCCCTCCTCCGTGCAGGCTTGCTCACCGGAGGCTTTGCTTTAACCTGCCGCCTTTTTACTCTTCCACGGCACGCGCAGCACTGCGCCCGGGGCCGGCGGGAACCTCTGTTTTCCTGAATCTTCTGTTAGAAGGTGTTAGAAGGTGTTTTTCCACAGAATGTGCTCTTTTCAGTGCTCTATAACTTCACCTGGCCGCTGTTACCCCGTCTCACAGACAGGGCTGCCGAGCCACAGCCGGGCTGAGCAGCCGGTGGTAAGAGGTGGCGATGGGACGCTCTCCCCAGGCTGCCGCTGGTGGTCATCTGCGCCCGTTGCCCAGGGACAGGGCTGTCCCTCCTGACCAGGTCTCCTGTTAGAGGGGGAGGCAGGGAAGGCGGAACCCCCAGCCCGCCTCTGGCACAGAGGGCCCTGGTAGAGAGAAACCCTGAGGGCAGGGGAGGGAGGCAGGCTTGGCAGAGGCAGCCGGGACGGGGCGGGGAGCCCTGGACCTGAGCTGTGTCCAGCGCGGACTGGGGAGGGAGAGCAGGGCCACCCGGAAGGGGCTCTCTGGAGCAAAGGCCTGAGGTCAGCAGGTGCGGGCGGGGGGCTGGGAGGAGCAGGTGTTCTGGGCTTGGGTTGCGGAGGCAGGCAGTGCCCTGACTTTGGAAGCCCCCTTTGTCAGAGACCAGCTCGCAGAGCTCGGGGTTTGAATGCAGCTTCGACACCAGGAGCTGCGTGGCCTCCCTGCCTGGACCAGTTTCCTCGTTTGCGCGAGGGGCTGGGCGGGAGGAGGGGCCGTTTCTCCATCTGCACCAGCAGTGGAACAGCAGAGGCCTCCTCACAGGCCGGGAGGAGCCCGAGGGAAGCCTGGTGCGCGCAGAGCACCACACACCCCAGACCCACGCCTGTTGCGCCGTCTCCAGGGACAGGGCGCCCGCTCTGGGGGGTGCCCTCTGCCATTCCTGCACGGTGGCCCTGGCCGGCTTGGGTGGTCTCCGGTGGGGCCCCTGCCCGCTGGGCTCTGTGCGCCCAGTCGCCCAGCGGCCTCCGCCATGGCCACCGCGTGACCGCTCTCTGACTGTGGGTGCGCAAAAGCGCCTCTTGGTCTGGTTCCTGGAAGCCCGGAGCTCGGAAACAGCAGCAGCGCTGGGTCTGATTTCCCGGCCGAGTCTGTGGCTTGACCGAGCCTGCGCCCACAGGGATGTTTGGGAGTAGGGCTCAGCTCCCCCGAGGAAGGAATGTTCAGATGCAATCTGCAGGGCTCTGCGGGGCGCAGATCCGATTGGAGCCTTTTGGAGCTGGTGGGCAGGCGTGGCGTGCGGCCCTGGGCCCCGGCCCAGGTCTCCAGAAACACCCGTCGGGCCGGGCTTGGTGCCTGGTCTGGGTGCTCAGAGGTAGCCCACGCTCTCTGGCCTTGCCTGGCCCCCGCAGCCTCCCAGATCCCCTTGCCTCCTCTTTTCACCCACACCTCGCTTGCGCTCCCTGCGCTGCGCTGGCGTCTGGGGCCCCGGAAGGGACCAGGGCTGTGCTGGCTCTCAGGGCAGAAAGGCGCGGCGGCACCGCTAGAGCTGAGGGCCAAGGTCAGGGTGTAGGCAGCTGGCCCGGGGCTCCCCTCCGAGCGATGACCGCCGTCGCCTGTCCACTGGCCCTCAGGCCCCTGGCCGGCAGCTGCACCGCCCCCTCTCCATGCAGACTTGTCTTTCTCTCAGTCCCCTCCTTTTCTTGTAAGACTCCAGCCTTGGACAGAGGGTCCCCCAATTCAGGATGGTCTCATCTCAAGATCCTAAATTATATCTGAAAAGACCCCTTTTCCAGGCCCCCCCATCATTTGGGGCCACCACGCAGCTGCCCACAGCCAGCTCTTTTGTCCCGTGGACAGTCCATGATCTACACCTCTCAGACAAGGACACCTGAGCCCAGGGCCCGCGGCTCTTCCCTGCTGAGGCAGGGCCTCAGGCCCTCGGATGTGAGGGCCCTAGTGGAGCACCTGTCGAGCTGACCCTCGCTCTTCTCGCCGGCAGGATGGACTCCAGCGCGCCTGCTCCAAGCCCCTCCGGCCCGCAGACTCCGCCACCACCACAGCCCCAGGCCCGCTCCCGGCTCAACGCCACGGCCTCAGTGGAGCAGAAGAGCGAGGTGCCCCGAGCTCCCAGCTCCCAGGCTGGACCTGGACTACCCGTGGGAGGTGCAGCTGCCCCAGCCGGGCCTCGGGCCCAGCGTGCCAGGAGCCGGGAAAGAGTGGCTGGAACAGGTAAGGGGTGGGCCTCCAACTGTCCTCAGCCCAGGCCGGGGCTGGTTCTGGGTGCAGGGAGAGCACCCAGGTCCTGGCACAGGCCAGGGACACCCAAGTGCCCCCTGCCGGGGCTTCCCCTGCCACCGAGCGCCCACACACCGCCCTGGGCCTTCAGCTCTCCCCTGGGCTCCGGCCTTGCTCCGGGTTCCTCGCTCGGCTGCCGAGTTTCCTTATTTCTGATGAAATGGCTCCAGCTCCGACCGGCGCAGACCTGACTGGCAGGCGGCTTGCACCGGGCGCTCTGCAGAGGGGCGTACTTCCCCGCCCCCTTCCCCCCAGCATCGCAGAAGCCCCTGCCCGCCACCCCGTGCCTCATGGGGCTGTTTGTTCAGGCAGCTGTGTTGGGTCTGGGAACCCCAGTTACCCAGCCTCTTCGGGGCCCCTATGGCCTCTCCCCGTAGGGGCCAGCTGCCCCCTGAGGACGTCCCTGCTCCCAGCCCCGGCCCCCGCCATTCTCTGGGCCACCGTCCTCCATCCTCAGCCTCGCTGCTGAGGGTCCTCCCAGCTCCCTCGCTGGCTTCCTCGGGTTTCTGCTCCCCTAGTCCTTCCCAGAATGTGCCTCTCGGGGCAAGGGTGAGATGGTGTGAGGCGGATGGGCAGGGACAAGTGGTCCTGAGCCGGCTGCTTTGCAGGCGTTGGGGGAAGGCACTGGGGCTTGGTCCATCCTCTGTCCATCTGCTGCTTACTGACCCAGAGTGGCCACAGTGGGGCGGGGGAGCAGGCAAAAGGGAGGCAGACCTGGCCCTCACCCCCAGGGAGTCTGCATTCCGGGGGGCAGAAGGAAGCACAGGATCTGGGGAGCACAGAGGTGGCTCTGACCTGGGCTGGGAGACAGGAAGCTGCTTTCTGCAGGAATTAACCCAGGGGAGGAGAGGTAGTGGCCTGGGGTAGGGCTGGGCCAGGGGGAGCCCGGCCTCCCGGGCGAGCTGGTGAGGGCAGGAGGGCTGGGGGCCAGGGGCCGGGGCGCGTGCCGTGTCCCGCCTGCAGTCGAGACACCGCGGGAAGGAGCTGGCCTTGTTTGCCCGGCGCCTTCCTGCTCTCGGGTCGTAGCTGGAAATGCCCCAGCTCACGGTGAGCTCCCCGGATGCTGGAGAGGGAGGAGCAGGCCCTGGCTGGGTGTTTGGGTGGAACAGCTGGTGTCCTCACTTCCCTGTGAGTGACGGCTTGGCGTGGGCTTCTGGTGGTTGACTGCGCTTCTGTGTCATCTGCTTTATCCTCGCGGCCCAAGCCTGGGCAGAGTCGGGGCCGTTGGCCCAGTGACAGGTGGAGCTCCTGGGCCCAGGGAGGCTGGGTGCTCCCGCCCCACTGCCCTGTTGGGACAGGTTCGGACCTTCCTGGGTGGGGAAGCCTTGTCACTTCCCTTCTCGGGTTCCCTGCCCCTCTTCTGCACACGAGACCATTCTGTGTCTTCCAAGTCTGCCCCCACATTTGCCCACCACCCCTTTGCTGCAAGGTCTCCTCTGCCCATAACATGCCCTGAGCTCGTAGAATCCTAATCCTCTCGAGGCTGTTCCTCTTACACCATCTGACCTCCGCCCACAGCAGGAAGCGTGTGCCTGTGCCTGTGCATGTGCTGCTGTGGGCGCAGGGCTGGCCCAGCCGTCCATGCATCTCATGTGCTTGGCTGTGAGCTCTGCTGCCCGGCTCACTGCAAGGCTGGTGCTGCTCCAGGCGCTCACTGTGGCCTCCTTGGGACTGAGGCAGGCAATGGGGAGCCCTCGGCCGGCCCTGCCCCTCAGCTCACCCCGCCCGTTGACTGGCCCCAGCTGGTTCTCCGGGACTGGCTCGGCCCGGCTCCCACAGCAGGACTGCCCACGGACTTGCTCTTTCTCATGCGTAGGAGCCCTGAGGTCCAGGAAGGGCCTTTGAGACCAAGGTGCGGCTCTCGGCTGGGCTGGTGACCTCAGCTGTGTGCCCTCTAGGGCAGCATGGTGCCCGGGCATTTTGGGGGCGTTCCTCAGGCCCCGGGGCATGTGGAGACATGCTGGGTCGGGACATGTGTGGCGTCCAGGTCTCCTCGTCCCCATGGGCTGCCTGGCCTGGTGGCAGCTGCGGTGCGCCCTGTGCTGCCTGCACGAAGGTTGCACAGGGCTCCCAGCCCCAGGTTCCTCCTGCCCCACCGCTGCCGGGACCTGGTGTGTGTGTCGCCCCGGGAACTAGCGCCACACATGTGCGCGTGAGCAGATGGGGTGTGTGCGCGCGCGTGTCCGGGTGCTCTCCGCACTCCTCCATGAGCCTGCTCGCAGGCTCTGCGGCGCCTGCCCCAGTGAAGAAGTCCCAGCCTCCGTTGCCACGCTGGCCTCCCCTGGCTCCCCCTCGGCCGCTGCCTGGGGTGACTGCTCAGCCAGGCAACGCCCCAGCCCCCACGAGCACCTGCTGTGCGTGGGCCTTCCCTCAGGGCTCCCATGGCCAAGTCTGACCCCGCAGCCTGTGCGGGGCGTGCTGCTGTCGCTCCACACGCAGACGAGGACTGAGGCAGACCTGCCCCAGTGGCCAGCTGCTGCATGCCCGGCACCCAGGTGCCCGAGCCTGCTGTCCACGGCACACCTCACGGCAGCGCTACAGAGCTCTCCGGGCTCGGAGGGAGCAGCTGGCCTGGGCAGCACACAGGCCCTGCTTGCGCGGAAACAGGCCTGTCCTGGTTTCCACATCTCCCTCAGAGACCTGTCGTTCTGCTCTGACTCTGAGGCCACTGCACAGGCCAGGGCCTGACCCCTGACCCCGGGATGGTGGCCCAGCCCTGGATGCCTGAAGGCCGCGGGCAGGGGCCAGGGCTGGGACGCAGAATGGCCCTGGGGTGCTGTCCAGTGTCTCGGGTAAGAGTCTGAGCGGATATGCTCTGGCCCCGCCCCCAGGGGCAGGCGCCCGTGAGGGGGGCCTGGGGCCAGCCAGAGTCTGGGCCTCCTGAGCTGCATGAGTACTGCCCAGCCGTGGCTTTTGGGGTCATTTTTAAGGAGTGACCTCGTCTGTGTGTCCAGCAGAGGGGCGATGAGCATCGTTCAACTCCCAAAGGCGGCCACAAGGGTCCATGTCCATGCTAGCTCACCTCCTCCATGTTTTCAGGCGAGGAAGTCCGGGGGGAGACGGGCTCAGCAGCCAACTCCCCGCCCCCCGGCTGGGGAAGTGGCAATGGGGCAGGATCGCAGGGCCTGGCTGCCTGGACCGCCTGCGGGGCTGCCGTGTGGTCCCCTGTCTGCGGCTCGGCCGGTCTCTGGAGGCTTCTCACTGGTGTTGAGGCGAAGCTGCCGGGTGTTGCCCTTGACCTTGGGACAGGTGCCTGCTGGGAAAAGGCCAGACCCTCCGACCGGCCTGCAGCGCGAGTGGAGCTGCCGAGTGGCCGCGGAGCTGTAGGTGCTGGTGCCACGGGGGGGGGGGGGGGGGGGGGGGGGTGAAATCAAGAAGCTCCACGTGTTCTAGGAGACCCGCGTGTCGGGCGACGTCTCGAAATGTCAGACTATGAATAACTTCTGTGAAAAATTAATCACGGACAAGAATCATCTTTTCCGCCAGCAGACATATGTTTGCAATCTTCTATGTTCTGGTTTTAAAAACAGAACAACCAGAATGCGGACTTGTGAATTCAGTTTGTCGCGGGAAGCGTTGTGCACCCGGGAGAGGTGGCTTGGGGGCGCACCCGGAAGTAACCACTGTGGCCTGGGGTCAGCCCCCGAAATGGAATCGGGGACAGAAGGAAACTCCGGTTTCGGGAAAGCCCAGTCTGGCCCCGTCCCCTAACGCAGAGGGCCTCGTTCTTCCCGGGCCGTCCTGATGGATTGAAAATGCCTCTTGCTGGGTCACACAGCACTTTGGGGCTCAGATTTCTCCACGTGTGCATCTTCCCAGCCAGCCCACGGGAGGGGCCTGGCTCAGCCTGCAGGCTTCGAGATCCCGGCCCTGGGGGCTGAGCTCAAGTCCAGAGAGCACCTTCCAGGGCCCGAGGGTGTGTGGCGGCAGCCAGAGAGAGGTGTACGGGGTGCTTGTTCCGGAAGCACCAGGTTCGTTCCGGCTGCCGGGGAAGGGACGGATGTCCTGGCCCAGAGCCACTGCTCACGAGGTCCCCAAGGACCAGGGGGCGCGTGCACTGTGTGACTGCTGCAGGGAGCGCGGTGCCCCTGTGCCTGGCCGTGAGGTCTGGTGAGAAGTCCCGGCCCCTCCAAGCTGTCACCACCTCTCTGTGGTGTGTGTGTCCCAGTCTTTCTTTAAGCCCGAGCCTTAGATCTTTCTAGAGCCCCAGCTGAAGCAGGCCTGAGTGTAGCTGCCCTGACTGGTCAGCTCAGCGAGGTAGGGGCAGTGGGGAGAGCGAGGGTTCCCCTAGCCTCCCACCCTGAAGGATGGAGCTGCTGCCGCAAACCTCCTTGAAGTGGGACTCGCTCTCTTCCAGGGTGGCCCGCGAGGCAGCATCCAGCACATTCTCCACATCTGCTCCCGTGTCCCCGACCTCGGTTGACCGCGGGGAGCTGCCTCGCGTCTGGAGCCCGGTCCTGCTCCACTCCTCTGGCAGGTGACAAGGACCCCCGTGATGTTCCGGTTGCTTGTGTTCTCTGCCCAAGGGCCCACGAGAGGAGACGTGGAAACCCCCTTTGAAGATGTGCTGGAGAAGGCCAAGGCCGGGGACCCCAAGGCGCAGACAGAGGTGAGGTCCGTGGCGCCCACATGCGGGCCTGGAGGAGTTGGTGCTGTCACAGCGGGGCTCAGGGAGCCCATGGCTGTGGCCCCTCTGTGACACTGTCCTTTCTGCCACCCTTGGGACGGTCCACCTCCCATCTCCCACCCATGCCTGGTCTTGGGCACCCCTCCCCTGGGACGCCTTCCCTGCTCCCCGCCTGTCCGTGGTGCCCGCCCCCGCCCTGCCCCGTGAGGAGCAGCGCCCTGGCGGTCAGGCAGGCTGGCCCAGTGTAGATGCCCAGCAGGACCCGATTCTCACCACCTCTGCTTGGCCTGGGGGAAGGGGATTGGGGGGGGGCGGACGGGAGAAGGCTGTGGAAGCCCGAGGCTATTTGGCTGTGGGGAGCAGGTGTGTGGGACGGGGCGAGGGAGCCCGCTGGTAAGCGGCCTGGCCTGCAGGTGGGGCGGCACTACCTGCAGCTGGCGGCCGCCGGGGACGAGGAACTCAACAACTGCACCGCGGTGGACTGGCTGGTCCTGGCCGCCAAGCAGGGCCGGCGCGAGGCCGTCAAGCTTCTTCGCCGCTGCCTGGCAGACAGAAAAGGTGAGTCCAGAGGGGCTCGGTGCCGCTAGCTGAGGAACACCAACCGGACCTCGGCCGCAGGGCGCCTGACGCGGTCACGCAGCGGGAAGTGGTGGTTTCTGGGCGGCTTTGTCCTCGAGACGCTTTCTGGGGTATGACGGGGGCAGTTAGCAGGCCCAGCCAACCCCTAGCGTGTGTGGCATCTGCAAACACCTCCGGGCTCCCGCCCGCTGTGCCTGAGGAGCCCGCGCCAGGGCAGGGTCAGCCTGCCCGTGGGAAGCCGAGGCGGCGCTGGAGGGAGCGGGGCCACCGGCCCACAGCCTTGGAGACCAGCTGCACACCTGGAGGGCCCGGAGGAGCCCAGTGCCTTCTCATCGTCAGGTCCAGCCCCCTGTGCTGTCTTCCCGGGAGGGGCCTGCTGATTCGGCTGCTGGGCTGCTTGTCGCCCTGCACCGGCCCCTCCAGAGCAGCCGGCTTCTTCAGGAAGGGCCTGTCCCAACGGCCATCTCAGGCACCGCACTCGCAGGCTGCCGCTGTGTCCAGCAGGGGCCTCACTGTGAGAACATGGCTCTGGGCCTGCTCCGCCTCTGACCCCCGTCCTGGGCAGCCAGGGCAGCTCCGGCCATGGTTTCTCCCCCTGCCAACGGGGCGGGGGAGGGGTGGGGGGGAGCAGCATGTGCTCAGGGGAGATGGAGTGGGGGAGGGAGGGAGGGTTCTCAGTCCCGTGTGTCCTCAGTGTCTGTGGAAGGCACTGCTGGCCCTCGTTTCCCTGTCTGCTCTTGTCCAGTGGTGCCTGCCAGGCCCAGGCTGCACATACACGCACACGCGCTCTCATACACACACATGAGGGCGACTTCGAGGCCAGGCCTGAGGCCCTGACGCCCCGTCCCCCAGGCATTACCTCTGAGAACGAGCCGGAGGTGAAGCAGCTCTCCTCCGAGACCGACCTGGAGCGCGCCGTGCGCAAGGCGGCTCTGGTCATGTACTGGAAGCTCAACCCCAAGAAGAAGCAGCAGGTGGCCGTGTCAGAGCTGCTGGAGAACGTGGGGCAGGTCAACGAGCACAGTACGTAGCGGGCACCGGGCACTGCCCCACCCAGGGCACCCCACGGGCTGTCATGTTGGGATTGGGGGTGGGGTTCCCTGTGGAGAGTAACAGAAGCTCCTAAACGGCCTTGTGGGGCTTCACAGGCCTCCTGTAAGGCCAAGTGAGGTCCTTCCTGGGGTCCCAGCATCCCCCTGTGTTTGGGGTCCCTTCTAGGCAGGCCTGAGCCCTGGCTCCGCTGTCCTCTGGGCGCCCAGCAGCTGCTCCTTCCTAGTTCACTTCTCCCTCGACCTTTGGGCTTGTCCCCTGCTGCCCACAGGCAGAGCCATGGGCATTCTCGGCGCGTCCTCCTGAGGGGGCAGAGTGGGGCAGGGGACACATGCACCCAGGGGCCCAGCTCCGATATCTGGAAGCTCCAGGGCCACCAGCCACTGTGCCTCCTGAAATCCCCCAAGGCGGGCCTTGTCCCTGCCCCCACTTCTGATGAGTTTTCCCGAGAGCACACAGGCGACCAGCAGGAAAGACGCGTTGGACAGAGCAGGTGTCCTTGGCTTTGTGGCCAAGGTCCACCTGGCTTCTCCATGACCCCTGGTTGCCTGCCTCCAGTTGTTCAGAACAGAGAGGATCCCCACCCCCCCTTTCTCTGGGGTAGATGCAAAGGGCTGGAACCCCCTGACCAACACCTCTGCCCCCTCTGGGGTCCCGGGTCAGGCCCCCATTCAGCGCTGTCTCTCTTGCTCCCAGGGATTCCTCTGATCTGGTCGGGGTGGGCAGCTGGGAGCAGCAGATGTGGCCATGAGCCTGGGGTCAGAGTGGCCCCCTGTGGAGCCCCAGAGACACTCAGCAGCCACAGCCCAGGCCCCACCGACCCCCACCCCAAATGGGCAGTTCCAGCTGGCCACTCCTTTGGCCTGGGCCCACCTCTGTCCACATGTCTCGTCCCGCTCCTGCCTGATGCCCCGCACAGGCCTGGCACTGCATTGGGAAGAGCCGCTCAGTGCTTGCCCAATGTGGCAGGGTGTTGGCAGAAGGGCAGAGCATTTCAGCCCTGCAGGTTGCTCACTCACTGCAGCGGGCTGGAGATCCAGGGAGCCCTGGCCCTGCCCCGGGAGCGCAGTCTTGTTCCAGGGGAGTCATGCCAAGGGCCCATGCAGTCAAGGTGCTTGGGGACGGGTGGCGCCGACCAGAGTGCCGTGTGCCCAGTGCGCTTTGCCAGCGGGGGTGGGGCGCCAGGGCACCCTGGGGACAGGAGGCTCAAGGTCACTGCTCAGATGGGCCCAGTGGCCCCCAGAGGTGGGGGCATGCAGGAGCACATGGGTGGTTTCTGGGCGTTGCCAGATGAAGGAGCAGCTGCCAGCTCCTTGACCCTGACCCACTCTGTCTTCTGCAGATGGAGGGGCACAGCCAGGCCCTGTCCCCAAGTCCCTGCAGAAGCAGAGGCGGGTGCTGGAGCGCTTGGTCAGCAGTGAGTGTGAGTAGTGGGCCCTCAGCCGTGCCGCCCACCCTCGGCCCCAGGCCAGCCGGGGCGCAGGGGTCACCCCGGTACCTCTGGGGCTGTGGGCTGGGGTGTCAGTGGGGCCCAGCAGGAGTGTCAGCTGTGGAGGGAAGACACGATGGAGCGTGCATGACAGTGAGAAAGCTGGGGCGGGGGGCATGACGGGCAAGGGGGCAGCTCTGCCCCTGCACCGGGGGCTCAGGACCGACCACGTCAGAACTCCCTGGGCCTTGTGACCGCGGGCAGACAGGTCTGCGGTCACCTCCACCGGGGCTGCTGCCTCTGCCCCAAGGACACGGCCCCGCGTTGCGCCCTTCCACACGACCATTCCCTGCAGTTTCGGGGGCGCATTTCTTTCCCTCGCGCCACTCAGGAAAGGCCCCTCCTGACCCTCCGTTCCCATCAGCTGCCCGCTCCCCTGCCCGCTTCGAAACTCCGAGAAAGGGCTGTGTGTTCTTACCATCTTGACTCCCCCTTGTCACCCCACCAGAGTAGCTGCTCCTCACTGGTGACCCCAGCCCATCTGCCAGGTCCACCTCTGACCTGTCCACACGGCCCCCACCTCCCTCCCCTGCCTGCAGGCCATGCTCCCCGGTCCTGCTGCCACCTGGCCCCTCCCTGTGGGTGCCCCACGTGGTTCCCCACTGCCCAGGATGCTGCGCTTCGGCCACGCCTCTGTCCACAAGCACAGCTGCGTCACCCTCACTGCCTCAGTGGCCAAAACGCCACCCACCACCCCAGAGCTCAGCCACCAACATGCCGCACGGCCCCTGGTGTCCAACCCACGCTCCACCACCCCGGTTGTCATGGTCACGCCAACATCGTGGTCCCCACCGCATGGCCACCTGTGTGCCTGCCCCTGCTGCCTGTCTCCCGTAACCACTGCTCCCTGGGCGCTGTCTTCCTGGCCGGGCCAGTGCGTCCCCAGAGCCCAGAACACGCCTCGCCCCCAGGTGGCCTCCCGAAATGCCTCTAAAGGGCAGCACAGTAGGGCCTGCCTGGCCTTGGGGTCCTGCTTGGCTTGGGACCAGTGTGTGAGCTGGCTTACTGCGCCTCCCGGCCCTCTGCCGCCCCATGGGGGCTACCTGGTGGAGGCAGATTGGCAGGAGTCCAGCCCCATTCTGCAAGTTTTGGTCTCCAAGCCTGGGCTGGCGGTACTGGGCTTTGCTCCACATTCCAGGCATTTCCCAGTGCTCAGAAAAGCCCAGTGCGCAGTGGGCCCCAGGAAGGAGTGCGTGAAACAGCAGGGAACAGGGCTTGGGGGACAGCCAGTCAGCAGGGAATCCCTGAAGCCAGGATTCCCCGAGAGATGCTGTCTGGTGGTGCCCATGGAGGGCATTTGAGCCGCCCCCCAGGCTTGAGGAGCTGGGCGGAGGGGTGCAGCCATGGCCGAAGGGAGCACACGTCCCAAGGCGAGGAGGCGGCACCGGCAGGCGGCTTCGGGTGGTCTGCCTGGGAATGGGTGGGGCAGGGGGTGGGTCTTCCCCCAGCTCGCCAAGGGCGCATCCTGCCTCGCCACCCCCAGCCAGAGCCTGCATCTGACCCTCGCCTTCTTCCTGTGCTTAGCCAAGAGCTACATCGCCCTGGACGACTTCGTGGAGCTCACCAAGAAGTACGCCAAGGGCATCGTCCCCACCAACCTGTTCCTGCAGGACGACGAGGACGACGAGCTCGCTGGGAAGAGCCCCGAGGACCTGCCGCTGCGCCTGAAGGTGGGCGGGCCACGCCCTGTGCCCCCACACACTGGGCACCCACGAGGGCACAGCCATGTGGACCTGGCTGGTGGCTGAGACTTGGGGTGCAGGTGGATGTGACCCCACTGTCCTCTCAGAGCTGCCCCCCGAGGCTCAGCTCAGGGTCGGGTTCGTGATCCTGCCTCCCCCTGCAGAGACTAGTGTGGCCGCAAGTGTGACCTGAGATGTCCGCCAGGGCCGCAGTCAGCGAGGAACCCCCAGGCCGTGTTGCGGCTCCTGCAGGACATGCGTGGGCTGCACATGTTCAGCAGAGGCAGGGCGGGTCGGCCGGTGGGTGCAGAGGGACAGGAGGCGGCTGGAGGGCACCTTGCGGGCCTGGGGGTGTAGAGGGTCAGACCAGGCTGCCGTCCAGGGTCGGGCTGGGGCGGGTGCAGGGAACGGGCATGTGGCTGTGAGCATCACGGCAGGGCCTCAGGTTTCAGAGCAGGCTCCTCCTGGCCCTGCGGGCGCCGGGCTGGCTGCACACAGAGGGACATCTAGGCCGGTGTCTGGGTGTCTGCGGCTGTGCTGCCACGGCCAGACCCCGCACAGGGACTAGCCTAGCAGACCTGTGCCGCGCACGGGTCCTGTGCAGCAACCTCACAGCGCGGAGCAGGCTCAAGCCCCAGCGCTCGCTCGCAGTCTGGAAGCCCTGGGCATGCCCGCGCAGGCTGGCGTTCCCTAGGGCCACCCTGTGCTCAGAGGCATGACCAGCGGAGCCGAGGAGAGACTTGGGGGACGGCAGGGCAGGGCAGGGTGTCCTGTGCGGACAGGGCAGCGCGGCTGGTCGGGCCCCTCAGAGCAGGGCTCAGCTGGGGACACCGGCAGGTTGCCATCCACTCTGCCCAGAGCGCGGGGGTGAGGAGTCTGGAGAGGAGCCCAACGGGTCCCCGGCCTGGCCCCAATGCTGTCTCACCCCTGCACCCTCCCAGGTGGCCAAGTACCCGCTGCACGCCATCATGGAGATCAAGGAGTACCTGATCGATGTGGCCTCCCGCGCGGGCATGCACTGGCTGTCCACCATCGTGCCCACCCACCACATCAATGCCCTGGTCTTCTTCTTCATCATCAGCAACCTGACCATCGACTTCTTTGCCTTCTTCGTGCCCCTGGTCGTGTTCTACCTGGCCTTCACCTCCATGGTCATCTGCACCCTCAAGGTCTTCCAGGACAGCAAGGCCTGGGAGAGCTTCCGCGCCCTCACCGGGCTGCTGCTGCGCTTTGAGCCCAACCTGGACGTGGAGCAAGCCGAGGTGAACTTCGGCTGGAACCACCTGGAGCCCTACGTCCACTTCCTGCTGTCCGTCTTCTTCGTCATCTTCTCCTTCCCCGTGGCCAGCAAGGACTGCGTGCCCTGCTCGGAGCTGGCCGTCGTGTCCATCTTCTTCACCATCACCAGCTACATGAGCCTGAGCACCTGCGCCGAGCCCTACACGCGGAGGGCGCTGGTGACCGAGGTGGCCGCCGGTCTGCTGTCCCTGCTGCCCACCCTGCCCTTCGACTGGCCCTACCTGAAGTTCCTGGGCCAGACCTTCTTTACCATGCCCGTCGGCCACTTCGTGGTCCTGAACGTCAGCGTGCCCTGCCTGCTCTACGTCTACCTGCTCTACCTCTTCTTCCGCATGGCCCAGCTGAGGAGTTTCAAGGGCTCCTACTGCTACCTGGTCCCCTACCTGGTCTGCTTCATGTGGTGCGAGCTGTCAGTGGTCCTCCTGCTCGAGTCCACCGGCCTGGGGCTGGTCCGTGCCTCCATCGGCTACTTCCTCTTCCTCTTCGCGCTCCCTGTCCTGGTGGCCGGCCTGGCGCTGGTGGGCCTGGTGCAGTTCGCCGGCTGGTTCGCGTCGCTGGAGCTCACCAAGATCGCCGTCACCCTGGCGGTCTGCAGCGTGCCCCTGCTCTTCCGCTGGTGGACCAAGGCCAACTTCTCCCTGGTGGGGATGGTCAAGTCCCTGTCGCGCAGCTCCCTGGTCAAGCTCATCCTGGTGTGGATCACGGCCATCGTGCTGTTCTGCTGGTTCTACGTGTACCGGTCGGAGGGCATGAAGGTCTACAACTCCACGCTGACCTGGCCGCAGTACAGCTTTCTGTGCGGCCCGCGGGCCTGGAAGGAGACCAACATGGCGCGCACACAGATCCTGTGCAGCCACCTGGAGGGCCACCGTGTCACGTGGACAGGCCGCTTCAAGTACGTGCGGGTGACGGAGATCGACAACAGCGCCGAGTCAGCCATCAACATGCTGCCGCTCTTCATCGGCGACTGGATGCGCTGCCTGTACGGCGAGGCCTACCCGGCCTGCAGCCCCGGCCAGGCCTCCACGGCCGAGGAGGAGCTCTGCCGCCTCAAGCAGCTGGCCAAGCACCCCTGCCACATCAAGAAGTTTGACCGCTACAAGTTCGAGATCACGGTGGGCATGCCCTTCAGCGGCGCCAACGGCAGCCGCGGCCCCGAGGACGACGATGTCACCAAGGACATCGTGCTGCGGGCCAGCAGCGAGTTCCGGGACGTGCTGCTGCACCTGCGCCAGGGCAGCCTGGTCGAGTTCAGCACCGTCCTCGAGGGCCGCCTGGGCAGCAAGTGGCCCGTCTTCGAGCTCAAGGCCATCAGCTGCCTCAACTGCATGGCGCAGCTCTCGCCCGCCCGGCGGCACGTGAAGATCGAGCGCGACTGGCGCAGCGCCGTGCAGGGTGCCCTCCGCTTCGCCTTCGACTTCTTCTTCTTCCCCTTCCTGTCGGCCGCGTGAGCGCGCGCTGGCTGCAGAGGCGGCGCCGGTGGGTGTCTCTGCCGGCCGTCCACGCGGCCAGTGGGCGCGCCGCTGCGCTGTGTGTGTGTGAGCGCATGCGTGTGCCGCGGCCACGGCGGCCCTGTCCTGTGGGGTCCGCTCCTGGCGAAGGGGCCTCCACCGTGACCGCGACGCCCACGTCCTTGGAAACTGCATGCCATGCCCTGCCCACCGCCCGCCCCCAGAGAAGCAGCCGCGGGCCAGACTGGGGGCCCCGACTCCCCCGGACTCCGACAAGCACTTTACAGATGACGCCCCCACCCCGTCCCAGACACCCACCCCGCTTCTGTGCGCCGGGCTTGTTCTTCAGAAGGGAGCGTGCCGCGTCGTCTCCACGAGAGGCTTATTTATTAGGTCACTGCTGCGCCTCGACAGCTGTCCGTGGCTGGGGCGTCCTGCGGCCAGGCCCTGCCAGGCTTTGGGCGTGTCCGCGGAGCTCAGCCCCGCAGCAGGCCTCACGGTCCCCTGGGGGTGGCGGGTGAGCCTCGCTCGGACGCACCCGGACTTGGGAGATAGAGCCGTGGGGGCCCGCGCAGAGCTCACTGCCGTGTTCAGCACCGCTGAGCGGGAAGCCGGGACCCTCAGTGGCCAGAATAAACACTTTGATGAAATCCGCTGTCCCTCCGTGATTGAGAAGGAGCCTCTTCCTGCGCGGCCCCAGAGCCGGCCCCGGCACTGCACGGCCTGGCTTCGCGGCGGCCGAGAGCCCTGAGCGGTGGCTGCGCCGCCCGGCCGTCCCCTCAGGCTCACGAGGTGAGACGCGTCGCAACTCACGGTCTCGGGGAGGGGGCACCGCAGGCGCCGTGGCCTGGGAGCCGCCCCCCTCGGTGAGGGCACCGTCTTACAGGCCCACAGATAGGATCGGGACTTCACTAGTAGTGACCACACAGCGTTGCCAGGCCCCCGTCCAGGGTCCCCTAGGGTGCCGGAGCAGCGTGGGGTTCCCTCGGGTGGGGGCATGTCTCCAATGTCTTCCCTGCAGCGGAGGACAAGGCTGGCCGCCTCCCGCCCTCAGCAGTCAGCACCGGTACCAGCGGGTCCACTTGTTGAGGTTGGCAACTCAGGGACCTTCGCACGTTCTGTCCACGGCCGGTGACCAATTTGCCCCTTTGGGGTGTGGTGAGGTCCCCAGACCGGCTCCTCTGGGCAGGGAGCAGCTGCACCCCTCGCTGGTGCCTGCTCTTTCCCAGGCGTGAGATGAGGCTAGAGGTCGGCCCTGCCCGCCCCCCTCTACCCCACAGGTTGTGAGGCTGTGAACTGCACTCTCAGCTCCCCACTGACGGTCGGGGGAGAGCTGGGGGAGCAGCAGGCACCCTCTAAGCAGACAGACTCTCCCAGCCCCCACGGCTGAGGGAGGCACTGACAGCTGGCTGAGGAGAGAGGCCCCCGGGCAGCAGGGGCAGGGCAGGCGCGGGCCAGCTTCAGACCCGGGTGGGCCGCTGCTTGGAGCAGGGGTGTGATCGCGTGGGCGGAGCCCCGAGAAGTGCCGTCTGCACAGGGAGGAAAGCCTTGGGTTCGAGCGTCGCACGCACAGCGGCCAGCACCGGCGTCCAGTGTCCTGCTTGAGCCCCACTTCGGGGCCTCCCTGGCTGTGTGACCAGGTAAGGTCAGGCCCTGCAGCGCAGACAGCCCCTCCCCAGGTGACTCCCAAAGTCCCTCCGAGCTTTTGTGGAATATAAGCCGAAATGCACGGAGTTTAGGCCAGAACTGACAGGAGTGGCGGAAATCAGAGCCTGGCGCCTGATGACGCGGTGTCTGCACCACGACCCCCGCCCACCCCGGCGCCCCAGCACACACTGCCTGTTCCCCTGCGTCTCGGGTCTGCTTCCCCACTCTCCTCCCCAGGGAGGACTGGCCAATACCTGGACTTAGCACCGGAAACATCCCTTATGTAACTTAGCTAATGAGCCTCGGGAGCATCTGTTGCTGCCCTCGAGCCAACACTGCACTGTCATGCTGGGCAGATGCTGTTCTGTTTGAGTCAAACCCTCAGGAAAATCGCTGAGGTCAGACACAAGGGGCCCCATCAGCAGTCGGAGTGCCCGCGGGGACAGGAAGTCCTGTGGGAGCCCTACATGGGAGCCTCCAGCCTGGAGCAGGAGCTGACCAGGGAGGCTTCCTGGAGGAGGGGTTTCCTAATTTTGAGACTACGGAGAGGCACTGGATTCGGCGAGATCAGAGAAAGAGTCCTCGACATCCAGGGTCCCCTTTGGAAGGCCAGGGGCCTGGCCCTGGATGGCAGGAGGTCCCAGAGGCTACAGTTCAGGTGCAAAGGCCAGGTCGGCCCCGGGCATCCTTCCCGCGGGCAGCGGGAGCCCCTGCAGCTCTGAAGCGAGGTGCTTGTAAGAAGAGAGACCTGGGCGCCGTCGGCCCTTTCGTTCCAGACGTTGCCTCTCTGGGCTGCTTCCATGAGCCAGAAACATTCCAGGGCCCTGGCCCGAGCTCCCCCGGTCCCCGATGTCCTCGCTGGCCACCCCCTTTCCTGGTGAGCAGGCTGTCTGCTGCCTCGCCCAGGAACAAGTGTTAGGCACATGTGGGATTTGCAAGGTCCAGCCATGGGGGGCAAGGTTCCTGCTCCTGGGGCTGGCCCCACCCTCTGCGAGGGGGAAGGACTTAGGCTTCTGAGCACCAAGGTGGGGCTGAGCCTGGTCGGCCAGAGGTCACTGGGGCCTCACACTGCGGGCCCAGCCCCACCATTCACCTGAGAGTTTGTGGAGGTCCCTGGGGAGGACCGCCCAGTGGCGGGGCTGGGAGGTGGCGGGGCTGGAATGCACAAAGGCCTGTTCTTTCCGCAGGGCCACAGAGAGACCCGCGTTTTCCTAAGTCTTAAATTCCCTCTTCAGGACACTGCCCAGGGGTGTCCCTCGGGCTGGCCTCGGTGCCCTCCTGGCACAACAGGGGGCCTGCGGGGGTGGGGTGGGAGTGGGGCCGCTCACGCCTCCAGGATGCAGCAGTTGGAACCGCCCCGGAAAACCCACTTGTGTGGTGCCATCCTGAGGCCCGGGGAGGGCTGGGTCCCTCGCAGCTCTGGTGACCCACCCATCCTTCCCCACGCCCAGAGGGACATCCCCCGGGGAGCCTGCGCTGCCCGCGACAGGGCGGCGAGAGCAGCACGGCCCGACGGTCCTGCCTCCTCGTGGGCATGTCCAGTTTCTCGACCTTCGCTTACCCAAAGGCTCTTTTCCATTTTGCAAATTCCATCCTGAATCCTGTCTCCATGTCATGTAACTGCTCCCCCAAGTGGCCGAACCCCAACTTCTGCAGTTACCCCTTTCAAGGTAGCCCCTCGCGGCCTGACCTCGTTGGCCCTGCTGTCCGGCAGAGCCCTGGGCATCGCAGTGCAGCACGCGGGCTGACGGACACCACCCCGTCCGCACGCGACCCCGCCGGGAAGCCTGGGGAGACACTGGGGCCGGCAGGGTGCCTGACGGGAAAGGTTCGTCTTCACTTGTTCAACGGCTGTCGACCGCCTGCTGGGTGCTCCTCTTCCCGCACAGGACACAGCGACCAAGGAACAGCCCCGGCCCTGCCGGGTGACGTCTCTGGGGAGGCGGAACACTGAACAGCGGCCCCTCACCGAAACCCATCCAGGCACAGCACGAATATCAGTTTGGGGGACACAGACTCGAGCCCCGAGCTGGATGCACGAGGGACGTACCTATGAGGCTCTCGTTCCTGCAGTTCTGACTGCTGCTAAGTCCCCAGGCTGTGAGGTGCCTCCCCAAAACCTGCACAACAGGGACCCCCGCCCTCCTCCCGTTTCTGCTCCCCCGGGGGTCTGCATGTTCTCATCCTGTCAGCGCCTGCAGAGGTGGGCCTGTCCCGGGTGTGTGGCTGTCGTGGGGGGCTCATCCCTCAGCGCCCTCAGGCCGCACCACGAGCTGCCCACACCCATGGTCACGGCACGACGGGACTCGCTGGAGACAGCGTGGACAGCCCGCTAGGCCACTTGCCGACCAAAGACTGGGGGCAGGACCCAGGCCGGATACTCACACTCAGGTTTCCCCTGATCCAGCTCAGAGCCCAGTGACCAGTCAGGGGCAAGCGGCTGCCAGCTGCCATGGACAGCAGGCGGCGGTGACCAGCTCCTTGCCCGACTGGGGAATCTGGATTCCAGCCGGTGGTGGCCAGGACTGGGGCTGCATGGACCCAGGGCTGCCCGGTAGGTGCGGACCTTCGAAGGCAGCCTGCTGGCTCCCAGCCCGGCCTGCCCAGCCCTGCCCCTGCAGCCCGCCCCTGCAGGCGCCACAGCTGCCCTGTAGCACGGCCTCTGCTTTACCAGGTGGGCACAGTCTGACCTGTTGCCCCAGGGACCGCTGGGGCCACGCTCCCGTGATTGGCCAGACTTGGCGGGAGTCAAGAGCAGAGTGATGACACTGTGGAATGGGGGCAATGCGCAATGTAGCAGTCCACGCCAGGCCGCAGCTTGAGCTATCTCGGGAGGACAAGTTAGGGCTGTGGGAAAATTCCAGGCCAAAACAATAGAGGCCGGGTTCCCGCCAAAAACAAGCGGTGTGTCCCCTTTGCGCCTGAAACACGGGATGTGGAGAAATGCTCCGCTGCTTGTAACAGCACAGCTTGGCTTCTGCTCTCCCACTTGCTGTGGCAACTGCAAACTCCCAGGTGCAGTTTTTGACTTTAAAAACCCTTAGCACCCCTGCCCGGGGCTGCTCCCCACAAGAGGGACAGTCGCCAGCGGCTAGTAACGGCTTTTTAAATCTGATTCAGACTCAGGTCTGTGTCTAGGGGAGACGACACCACCACCATCCCGGGCTCCCCTGGGGGCAGGGCTCCCCGAACCCTTACTTACGCGAGGATTTACGGTTAGTCCGCACAGCACCAAGTGGCAGCGTTCACCGCACCGGCCACGCGAGGGTCCGAACCCGGGAAGCCATCCGGCAGGTTTTACTCTGGTTGCCGTTACCATCACAGCTGCGCTCGGCTTGTGCAGGCGCAGGGGGAGAATGCAGTCACTCCTGACCAGGGAAGAACTTCCCCTGGTTTGCGTCTATTGCTTTAGGCCTTTCATTGCCTAAGTGATCGTGACCTCGGAGCGCACCTGGAGACACAAAGCTGGGTGCCCGCTGCCAAGTCTTCTTTGCCCCGGCCTCGGGCATCAGGTTCCTGCAGGAGAGAGCTCCTGTGCTTCTGGGAAGCACAGGAGTGGGCCGCAGGGTCTGACTTCAAAGCCCAGGCAGGGGCCTTTGCACTCTTGCTGCGCCAGGGAGGGCCCAGGAGGTCGGTGATGGCGTCACAGCTGGCCAGCACCAGCATCCCCGGCCAGGCTCTGGAGAGGAAAGGCTCGGGTAGCAAGGTTGGAAATGTCCCCCAGACCCACAGACGGCAGCCAGGCTGAACGCCGCACGCAGCAGGTGCTCAGAAACGTTTGTTGAGAGAGTGGATTTGCAGCGAGAGAGAAATCGAACACTATTTGGCACTTTATCAATGACCCAGCGGCTGCGCCCCCCAAGGGCCCCGCCTGCCCGAGGTGGACGGTCCTTGTGTCCGGCGCCCGCCTGCTTTGCACGTGCACAGCCTTTTGCAGCATTTAGACGTGGATTCCTCTCCGCTTTCCCTTACTCTTGTCCTCCTAACGCGCTGCCTTTGCAGGTTCCCAGCCCCTCTCGAGGGGCGCCCGACAGCCGGCTGTGTGGGCCCCAGGAACCTGGCAGGACCCAGCTAGATAATGGGGCTTTGCTGTTTTTTTTAAAGGACGCAGTTGTTTGAAATGAATCACTCAGGACTCAGGCAACCATTTTGAGCTCTAAAAGCTTCTCAGTTGCTAGGAAACCACCTCTGCAAGTTAAAGTTTTCAGCTGTGGCTGAGCTTCCGCCACAGGACTTTGAGAGGCAGTTTGGGTGAAGCAAAAGACTGCGGTGGCCTGACTCTCCTTCCAGAAGACAAGAATCAACTGACCAAACACGATGTTTAGCTTTCCTCCAGCGACTGGGTAATTTGCTCTCCCTGCAAACGATTCTCCAGAAAGGCCCGTACTTGATTCAGAGTAACCGGTCTCTGGACAGCGGAGTCCTGGGGGTTAACAAGTCGCAGCCCAGGTGCTGAGGGCCGGCTGCGAGGTTCGGGCAAGCTCCTGGGTGAGGCCGAGAGCTGCTGTCCGGGAGGGTGGCAGGAGCGCCCAGCAGCTTCACACCGAGGGGTCAGCTCAGCTCCTGCCTCCCCATCTCTGCAAAGTGGCAAGAGGCCCAAGGCCGTTAGCGCCCGTAAAGAGGGCAGCACGTACCGGATGCTGTGATCGTCCCTTGGTGGGCGCCGGTGTCTAGGTGTCTACAACACCTCCCAGGAGTGCTATTACCCCCAGCTCGATAACTGGGGAAGCTGCGGCTCAGGGAGGTTCTGGGTCTTGATCAGGATCCACACGGGAGCAGCTGCTGAGACGACCCCGCGCACCCCACCACCTCGCCGTGTTCCCCAAGGCACCAGGTTGTGCAAAGGACGGGCCTCCCCAGGGGGTCCTGCCAGGCCTCCGGGCGCTTTGGCAAGCGGATTGTTCTGAGCTGAGGTCAGTCTCGGCCCTGCAGGCTGACAAGGAGCTTTGCACTTCCTCTCTGTTGTGCAGCCAGCCCCAGGCCCACACGGGGCAGGCAGGTTCACCGCTGATTCCGGCAAACGGATCTGGGGCCCTCGGTAGACGCAGCATGAGCTGGGACCAGAGGCAGGAGGCAGGCAGCCCAGCCCCCAGCCACCCCGCGGCCTCCGGCTTCCCTGCTCCCTCCAGTCGCGTGCTGCTGGGCCGGCCCAGGTGCCCCTACTTATAGGTACGCATCCCTGCGCGCCCACCTTGGCCCAGGTGTCTGTGATGACGGGCGCGTGTGCCGCGTGCTCACGCTCCCCAGCCGGTGTCCGTGAGCAGGCACGCGGCCCCCGTGCTCACGCCTCCGCCGGGTTGTGGCCAAGGCCCGCCAGGCTGCGGTGGCCGCCGCGGAGGCTAGCGGGGGGAGGAGGGAAAAAGCCTGAATAACTCCATCCTCTAACTCCATCCTCCCTACACCCTCCTACCGAGAGAGTAAACTTGGGGTGCTACCCAGAATGAGGGTTTTTACCAGACATAATCTCTCCCTTTGGAGAACGACCTACACAGCGGGGCAAGTGCCTAACACGGACCACCTGCGGCCCTCCTGGCTCCCCGAGGCCCAGGCCCCTCCCCGCCCCGGGATGCGCCCCCTCGTGTTGCCTGTGGGCTCTAGCAATCGTCCACGCAGGCGCAGGGCGTCCCGTCGCTCTCCCGGCCCTCTGTCCTGGCTGACGTCACCGTGGTTGCTCCGCCACCCGAGGGAGCCCAGAGGGGTGGGGCGTCCCCTCCTCCCTGTAGAGGGAGGCGGAGCAGGTGGCCGGTGCTTGAGCTCGGGTTACAGGAGCAGCCGCCGCTCAGTGACTGCTCTGTCCCACGGCCCTGGCCAGGAGGCCACACTGCGGGCGGCCAGGCCCGGGCTAAGGCGCTAGGCACACAGCGGACGCTGGGGAGGTGGAGAGGGCGCCGCGGCCTCGGCCCACAGCCCAGCTTCCAGCGGCTGCCTGGACACCAGCTCTGGGGCTGGGGGTGTGAGCGTCCGGGCCCAGCGCAGCCTGGCGCTCAGGGCGGCCCCTCCCCAGCCCTTGAAGCTGGAGCCCTGCGGCTGTCTGAACTGAGTGTGACCACCAGAAGGCGTCAGAGGGATGGTCACCGTCAGAGGGATGGTCACCGGCGGACGTGGAGGGAGGGGCAGTGGCCGAAGAAGGTGCAGAGCCAAGGGGCCCCCAAGAGAGGTTCAGGGAAACCTCCCCGCCCGCCCATTATCACGGGGGCACCGCGGGCAGGATGGGCCTCTCTGTCTTCCAGGTGCCCAGTGGTCTCTCCTCCAGGCTCCCTCCCTGGGACACCCAGGCGTGGAGGGGCAGTGCGGGGGTGGGGGGCACCGTATGGCGAGTCTTGCTCTTCTCGCCCAGCAGACACTGCGTTTTTCACAACGCATTTAATGGAGGGCGCTCCCTGGTGCTGCAGACCCGGCGCCAGCGCACACGCACGCGCCAGCACGGCGTGGACACAGCTGCCACAGCCCTGGGAAGCCAAAAATTCACACGACAGAAATTTTCGAATAGTCTCTTTATTTCAGTCTGGAATCAAACCCACAACATCTCTGAGGCGCGCCTGTACGGAGTCAGCCAGCCCGGCTTGCAATGGGCTGCGACGCGCGCCAGCTGTGTGGTCGTCAGCCTGCGGAGCCCCTTTTCCTCATCTGCAGGAGAGTCGAACGTGAGGGCACCTGGAAGCCACGGTGCGCCGCCCTCACCCACCTCAAAGCAAAGCCAGCGGCCCTTGCCGAGAGCCCGGGCCAGGCTCCCAGGAGCTGGCGTGGCCCATGTACTCGCGCCCCTCCCCCAACACCCCACGCTACCAAGCGGATGTTGTTAGCTCTGCCTCCTCAGGGATGAAATCGGAGCTCAGGGGAGTGAAAGGCTGATCCGGGAACTCCGAGCCGATGTGCCCCACCTGCAGGGTGGCCCCGGACGGGACCCGCCCACCTGGGCACAGCCTCGTTAAAAACCAACCGCATTCGGGGGTTCATTTTCAATGTAACATTTCTTATTTTATTGGAAAAAGCTGGTATTAACATATTTATAATTTTATTCAACAGTTGGATAATTTGTGAGACACCAAGGAAGTAAGAATGCACCTATGAGTCACAGAGTCCAAACGATCCCGTCTACTCTACCACCTCACCCTCCACCGCTGGCAGCTCGGTCCCCAGAGCCGCGGAGGCTGGAGACAAACACAACCCGACAACTTCACCACGACGACGCGGACCGCACACGCCAGTCCACGCGAAAGAGCAGAACATCTAACCAGGAAGGAAGCAAGTCTGTGACTATTTTACTGGTCCTCCTGCCACGTCCAGCGTCACCCTGCCCCCCACATCTCCGTCCACACGCGTCCACTCTTCACCGCCGGCCTTGGAAAGGCTACTTTCCAGGGATCTAAAGACATGCTTTTCTTCTGAGAAGATCTTTTTCTTTCTTTTCCTTTTTCATTTTTTGGTTTGGTACCCAAAGTCTAAAACAGAAGGGAGGAGCCGGGAAGCGCAGGACACCTCCCTATGAACGCAGTGTAAGGGTTGTACTTTGTAGCGGGGAAATGCTGAATCTACAACTTGACAGTAACCTCCGGCTGCGCACACGCCTGCCCCTCAGTGCTGCAATCAAAGGGACTGACTGACGGGCAAACATCCCTGTCATGGCCCAAGGCCCTCGAAGTGGATTTTGGCTTCCACAAGATTTCTATAAAATGTGCCACATTCTTGAGCTTCTTTACACAGAGGGAATAAAGGAATCCAATCCTGCGATTAATTTAATTAGAATAGATATGTACATATAATACTGTCCAGGTCACCTGGATTTTACAGCGATGTATAAACAAACATTCTTCATTCACGTATTTAAAAAAAAAAAAATCAATGGACCCATTTCCTTGTGTGAATATTGTATGGCCGGAAGTGAGGGCACATGCGTTTTGTGCTTTTACACACACAAAAGTAAAGGGCTATCAATTGAGAAAAACCTTGGGTGGGTGGGTCTACTTCCTGGGTAGGTTACACCTTGTGAAGAAGGCTGGATTCTGTCAGGGCCTCTGCACTCTGTTGCTGAATCAAAATGCAAAGCCACGTGGTTGTGCTGAATTCCAGGGCGAAGGCGACACGTGGGTGTGGTGGGTGGGCGTGGCTGGCGGTGGGTGGGCGTGGCTGGCGGTGGGTGGGCGTGGCTGGCGGTGGGTGGGCGTGGCTGGCGGTGGGCGTGGCTGGCGGTGGGCGTGGTGGTCAGTCTGACAGCAGGGGAGGGACTAATGTGGACACAGACCTTCTCTGTGGTCCTCAGGGAAGTGTCCTCTGCGATGCTGCAGTCATGAAAGAAAATGTATCTGAAAATGGGAAGAACATGCAATTTCCTTGTGGCGGCAGTTCAGTGCATCTGGAAGGGCGCTGGGTGCACAGGGTGGGGTGAAGCTGGGGGTACTTCCTGAAGTCACCCAACCAGGCCGGGAGCCAGCGGGGGAGCTGCTCCAATCTGGGTCTCGGTTCTCCCTCACCATCGGCCAGTCTGTCCCGTTTCACAGGATGAAGAGATGTTTCTGGAACCTTCCAAGCTAGAATGTCGCTTTAGTAAGAACCACCAACGTGGTGGATGGGAGAGCACCTATAGGCAGACGGGGAGGGGGTTCCTGCCTCCACCAGCCGGTGGGGGCTTGCTGTGGGCAGAATATTCATCCTTCAGGCCTCGCTCGTCTTGTGTATCCAGTGGGGAAGAAGGAGCATTCACCCGTTCACCCCGGCGCCTGGCACAGCACCTGGCACGCAGTGACCATTTGGTGTGTATGGAGGAAGCAGATGGACACCAGCCCCACAGGGTCACGATGAGGGCACAAAGCAATCTCCAGGGCCCAGCCTGAGGTCCCAGGGGTTCCACTGATTTAAAGGAGAGCCCGGCAGAACGGGCACGGGGTTAAATCATGTGCCTGGAGGGCTGGTCTGGGCCCCCGCCTGGCACCCAGCAGATGCTCAGCAAAGGCTGGAGAAGTGGTAAGAACAGCAGGCACACACAGACAGACTCCACCGCTGCTCCTCTCAGCACACTTGAAGGACCTGGGAGATTAGGCCACATGGAAAGCGCCCCGCAAGGGGCTCGCATCCGTACACTCTGAGCACGAATTCACTCACAATCCCAGAACACAAAGGTGAGGGCGTCCTCGGCACGAGACCGTGGAAGTGCTCCCTTGCAGCCAGAACAACCCCTGGCTGGCTGGTCTGCGCCTCATCATCACTCCGCCAAGCCCCGATCTGGGGCCAGCGGGCGGGAGGCAGCCCACCCGCCCAGCTCCCCGGGAAAGCGCCGCGGGAGTGAACATCAACCCAGCGAGGCGGCCACCTCACAGTGTGGCAGAGGCCACAGGTCTAGCGAGGAATGACAAGAACCCTGAATTCAAGGTCAACAGTCACGTCCATTTCTACGATCTGCGGCTGTGAACCCTTCAGTGAAGCCGGGGACCGGGTCAGTCGCCGATGCCCCAAGAGCCAGCCGGGGCTGCCCTCGGGCCCCCATCCTCCACCTCCCCGGCCGGGGAGCAGCGCGAGGGCCACGCGCCTAGTGCATCTCGGAGTTCACCTTGTCCTGGAAGATGTACAGGTTGTTGGTGGCCGCGATGGCGATGATGTTCTCGGCCGGGTGCCAGGCCGTGTGCAGGATCTTCCTGGTGAAGTCCAGGCTGTCCACGCTGATGTCGTCGCGCCGGCGCTTGCCGCCCACACACACGCGCCGCGGCTTGAGCACGGCGCGGGGCTTGCTGCTCTCCCGGGACGCCTCCAGCGTCACGTCCCGCTTGGTGTTCCGGTCGAACATGCGGAAGAAGTTGTTGTAGGCGCCGGTCATGATGACGCTGCGGGCACAGGGAGGGCGTCAGGGGGGCCGGGAGGAGGCCCCTGGCCCTCAAGAGGCCTCACCTGCCCGCCCACCCAGAGACAGACACTAGCAGCACAAGCAGATCTGCTCTCCCACGCGCAGCTTTGTTTTCAGCAGGAGGACACGGTGGCGGCCCGAGCGCCCGCGGACAGTGGACGGAGAAGGGGTGCCCGCCCGCGGGGGTGGCGCCCGGCATGGGCAAGGTGGGGGCTGCCGTTCTCAGCAAAATGAGGGGCTGGAGGGAATGATGTGCAGGAGGGCAAGGCGGGGCAACACAGACCCTGGACATTTACACGGAGGGCGACCTGGTCGGGGACCAGCACCGCGAGGGCCCTGAGAGTAGGAGGCAGCGGGAGGGAGAGAGGACAAGGGGGCGCGGGGGGCCACCTGGGGCTGCAGGCCATGGAGCCCAGAAAGTGAATGGGGGTGGGGGGTGGCCAACCCACCTCAGGCTCCCCTCCCTCCCTGACTCTCTGCTGCCCCTGCCACCCAGATCGCAGACCTCTTCGTGCTCTAGCACCAAGCTATGAAAACACCCCGCATTGGGCCGTCAGGGAGCACGAGCCCCAGACTCGACGAGCCAGCCGCGGGGAGGCTGCGCCTACAGAAGCCGCTGGCCTGAGCTCGAGGCGGGGCTGGGCAGGCCCCGGATCCACCCGGCTTTGCCCACAGGCAGCCCTGTCCCCCGGGCAGCTCCGCTCCGTGGACAGTGGACCTGCGCCGTCCAAACACCGAGGTGTGCCGGCGTCCCGGGCCCGCCCTGCTCCTGAAGAGAACCTTACACCTGCCCGTCCCTTTCTGCCTGCGCCGCCCCAGGCCTCCTGCCGCAGGAGAGGAGGCGGGCCAGGAGGTGGAAGAGAAGGAGAAGAGTTACACCGCCTGGACCCAGAAAGAGGGTTCAGGGTCCGGTCGGAGAGAAGCACTAAAGTAGATTGAGGGGGTTGCGATCTGGGGGGCGGGTTGGGCTGCAGGACGCAGCACTGGGGACTGGCCGCTGTCCCCTAAGCGTGCCCTGGAATTCCTTGCTCCTGTTTGGAAGCTGAACCTGGCTTCTTGGCAGTGTTTGCGCTGAGATAGAGCCCCGTGGACCCTAAATTCACAAGGGGCACGAGCACATGCCACGTCTTCAACATTCCACCCTCAGGAGGTGCAGAGAATGGAGCGGGTGTGAGGGCAGAGGTCGCTCGAATAGACGGCACAGGCGGGGCAGGGTCAGCTGCTGGGGCTGTCTCCTGGGGCAGGTTTCCCTCTTGGGGAGGACGTGACACCCCCACCGGCAAACCCAGCCCCTGGAGCTCCTGTAGCGTTGCTGGGGGAGACCAGGGAGGCTTGTGCCTCCGGGACCCACGTGGGGGCGGAGAAGCTGGGACAGGGCCGCCTTGACACTTGCCTGGGGAGCGTGTCTTCATGTCTGGATGGTGATGGGGGGCTGTGGGGGGAGGCCCTCTGCCCCCCCTCTCCTGGAACTGCTCAAGGGTTGGGCTGGGCAGAGGGCAGAGGACAGAGAGGCACCTGTCTCCTGAGCGCCATGGAAACCAGGGCCTGGCCTTGCAGTTCTGAACCTTCACCAAGACCCAAGACCTTGTTTCTTGGTTTCGGGGCTGGCGAGTTGGGACCAAGGCTCCCTTCTCGCCCCAGCCCACCAGCGGGGCCCGGACCCTGCCAGAGCCCAGCCCCTGATCTGCTGAGTGGGTTCAGTGTCACCTCCCTTGGCGCCCAGATCTCTGAGATCAAGTTCCAAGATGGCTGGGCGGCTGTTTGGAGACCTGGGGATGGAAGCCCCCCCCGGAAGGAGCTCTCCGCAGCAGGCCAGGGGTGTGGGGCCACGGGGCGGAGAGCACGCGCCAGCTGGGCGGCGAGAGGAAGATGCCGTAGAGACGCTGCACAGATGTTCTGGAAGATTCTAAGGGAACCCCAGGGAATGCTGTGCACGGGGGCTGGGACATCGGAGATTTTGTTTAACATCCCCCCAAAAGGCGTACGGCGGGGAACGGGAGGGAGGAGTCACAGCTGAGCGGAGCGGCTGCTTCCTTCGCTGTGAAAACGGGGCAGACAGAGGCCTCAAAGGCAAAGGTTTCCCCACACAGGGAAATGGGGTGACGAGAGGCCCCTGCTGCCGGGGGGGGGGGGGGGCGTGCACCAGGTGACACGAGCGCCTCGGGGCAGCGCCAGGCTCTCCCCCGCCCCTCCCACCGCGTGGGGCGAGCTGAGCGGAAGCCCCACCGGCCTCACCTGCGACCTCACCTGTGGCGGGAGCCCAGGAGTAGGGACCGGGGAGACCCTGGCCGGAGGAAGGCGCCCCCCAGGCACGGTGAGGGGAGCTAACACCTCCTCTGCCCTCCAGGGGCCAGGCACCCCGCCGAGTGGGCCATTTCACTGACACTTATCCCTGCCCTGACCGGCAGGTGGATCCAGGGAGGACCGAGGTCATTGGATCCATTTGCAGCCCACGCTGAGCTAATCTCCTGCTCTCACCGGGCAGACTCAGCTGGTGTGCTGGGGGGAGGGGGCCCCCACATGCAGGGGGTCCTGATTCTCAGCTCCAGCGCTGTGCAAACCAGGCCAGGAAGACGGTGTTGCCGACAACCCTACGTGTTCTCTCACAATCCAGAAGGTTCTCTCGGCAGGGAGGGGCAGCCTCTGCCTGGGCCCGGGCCTCGGCCAGCTGCCTCGCCTCCTCCTGCCTCCCTTTCTTTTTTTTCTTTTTATGTTCCCCATACATTTGCAACCCCAATGTTGACCCCAATCCCTCCTCCCCCACCCCCCCACAGAGTGTCTCTGGCTCACAGTTGTTGATGCGCCTCCCTTTCTTCATTGCAAGTGGGGTCAAGGCAGCTCTTGTCCCGACGCCTCCTTCCACGGGGAAAGGCTCCCACCCACCCTGCGGTCTGGAGGGCCTGCCAGGCCGCTCGCTGCCCACGGCCCGACGCCAGCTGTGGCCTACAGTCCCGGCGCCCATGGGTTACGTGGCCCACCCAGAAGCATGTGACCCCAACACAGCCATTCGGACGCCTCCATGAGAATGTCCCAGAAGCCCCGGGAGGGGGAGGTGGGCTGTGAGGACAACGGAAGGGGGTCGACGTGGGGTCACCCTCCCCAGCAGTGAGGGGTGGGGGCCGCCTGCAGTGGGAGAGCACGAAGGAGAAGCAACGCATGCCAGGAGAAGCCAGAGGCACAGAGATGGCACCAGGAGGCAGCGGCCCCCAAAAGCTGGGGCTGCCCGGCAGAAACTTCTAGGACGAGCTAGGACGAGGGCAGACGCGAAGAGCCTGCTTGACGGCTCCTCACCCAGGCAGAGCAGACCAAGGAGAGTGTCCGGAGGGGACCCGAGCTGGGCCTCGGGCTCGGCGGGGTCCTGGCAGGGGCGAGGGGCGAGCCAGGCCACAGACCCACCGACTCCCTGGGCCCGGTGCAGCGCACACCGCGGCGTCCTCAGGGCGAGCCCTGGTCACGGTTCATTCGAGCCGCTTCCCAGAGGCCAGACCCGACGAGCGACTCCAGGACGGAGCACTGCTGGACAGCGGTGGGCGCCGACCAGACACTGAGGGCGTCTGACCCTAACCCACTGCTCTGCCCTCCACACCGGGTGCCCGTCTGAGTGTCGCTGGGGGCTGTGAGCGCGTGCAGGCACCTGGGCTCTGCGTGGCCACAGACCCGAGGGCAGCCTCCGCCTGCGGGTGCCCCGCCCGGCCCTGGTGGCCCCCGGCCCTGGGCTGCAAGGTGGGAGTCGCTGGCTGCACGCGCTTCCAGCTCCGGGAAGCAGGGCCCGGGCACCCGGCTCGGAGACACCGGGGGGGGAGGGAAGGTGGGCTCGTTCTCCCGTGCCTTCAGGGATGGGGCGTCGCGGCGGGACAACGGCCCCCCGGGGAGCACCCTGCACGCGCGGAGTCACAGCCCACCTGAGGGTCCCCGCCAGAGGGGGTGGGTGGGGGCAAGGAGAGAGCGTGGTAAATGCCCAGGCGCGGGAGACCAAAGGCTAAGGGGAGAGGCAGACAGGACCCCAGGGCCGGCTGGAGGGCGGCGTCCAGTTCAGTCAGGACAGGAGGCGACAGCTGCGGGGAGCCAGGGGGGACCGAGGGGAACGGCGGGGGAGGTGGAGGGTGAGAGGCGCCCCAAGCCCAGGGCTGGCGCCAGGAGCAGCATCGCCGGGGCACGCGCGCCCCCTCGTGGCCCGGTGGGGCAAGGGCCGGCAGTGGTCCAACCCTGGGGGACCCCAGCACTCCATAAGCACACGCGCCCACACACACACACACACACACGTGCACACACACATTGGGATCAGCTTCTCTTGCCAGCAACCAGTCCCTTCCTGGAATTCTAACAGACCCCCCACCTTGATGCCCACTGCCCAGGTTCCCCAGGGAACCCCAGACATGTCAGGGGTCCTCAGTGGGGGGTCAGCCCCTGAAGGGGCGTGGAGAGATTGAGGGGTGTCCCCGCTGATGCAGCCACGTCAGTGCCATTTCAGGGGCTCTGTTCTGGTTTGGAAGCTCCTTCAGAGGACCCTTGTGAGCACCAGGCGAACCCCCGCAGAACAACCCCCACAGACCCTGTGGGCCAGGTGAGCCCCAGGATGTCAGCAGCAGCCCTAGGGATCGCTGTCCCTGCACGCAGCGGCATGGTGCCATTCAGCCCCTCCCAGTGCCGTCCCTGTCAGCTCCACCACAGCCACCCCCACCCCTGCCGCCCCTGGGCCCCAAAGACACACAGGTCGCAGCCCACAGGACCACAGATGCACTGGCCACCCTCGGAACCCGAGGGGGCCCAGCCTGCTCCTGGCTGGCACGCCCAGGGGGCTCCAGGGGGCTCCAGACTTCCCCTGCACCCCTCCTGCCCACCCTGTGGGCGGGGCTGCAGGTGGCCTCCCATCAGCCCCGATGAGAGCCTAGTGGGGTGGCTGGTGCAGCTTTGCCCCTGCCTTGGCCAGCGGCTGCGTGTCCAGCAAAGGCCCCAGGCAGCCCCCAGTGGCCACCTGTGTCCAGCAGAGGCCCGACAGCCCCGCGGGGGGTGGGTCACCTGTCGCTCCCGTTCCAGGCGCACTCGAACTTGTCGAAGATGCAGTCGTTCTCGTAGAGGGAGCAGAGCTTGCTCCGCAGGTAATCGTGCACCTGGCGGGAGAGGGGACGCCTGAGTGCATGGGGCACCCCTCACCCAGCTCCCCTCTGCCAGGAGGGCCTGTGACCACTGAGGGGCTGTGCCCTCCAGTGTCTGGATGGCACCCAACCTAGCCCTGCCCATGGGCACATGGCTGTGCCCAGAAGGGTCAGTGGCCACAGGGACCCATCCCGAGTCCTGGCCCTGCCCTCCCGGCTATGAGAGCCTCTCTGAGCTGTGGCGCTTCGCCCTGAAGTGAGAGGCGCACGCGGCTCATGGGTTGCTCTGGGGCTGTCGCAGGAGGCTGGCAACCGTGGGCCTGACGCTGACGGGGGCTGCCGTGCCAGCACCAGGCCCACGCTATAGCCCAGCTGCTCCTGATGGGGAACAGGCCCTGGAGAGCCGGGGCTCATGGCCGCCCAGCTAAGAAAGGCTCATTGTGGGGTCCCTGAGAGACAGGAGGGAAGGCAGCCGTGGGGGAGCCTGGTGGTGGAAGGGGTCACGGAGGAGTGGTCATGGGGATATGGTGCTGCTTCACCCCCACGAGTAGTTAAGAGGCTTGCACTGAGCCCTTCAGTGAGCATGAGTGCGTGCCCTGCAGGGGAGCTGTGCCGCCGCCTGGCCACGCGGGATCTGGATGTGTCACTGCCCAGCCGGGAGGCGGCTCCCAGATCCTAACCCTTAGCACCCCAGGTTCCCTCTCACCACGTGGGGCTGGTGTGCAGAGACCAGGTGTGAAGTGACAGGCGTGAAGTGATGTGAACCCAGTACTAGCCCCGTGAGGGTTTCACTGGGGCTCTTGTCGGGGCGGGGGGGTGGGGGTTGTTTTCCCACTCACAATCCAATCCTGCGCATCCTACCAGGGCCAGCACAAAAGTCACCTCCTCCAAGAAGCCTCCCAGATCTCCCTGCTAGACACGTAACCGGGAATAGCGCTAAAGCAGTCCCTCATGTCTTCCAAGTCCCCAGCCGACTTTAACATCCCATGAACTTTGTCTGCAGCCCCAGACCTGGATGTATGAGAAACAGTAAACACTCCTTCCCAGAAAGGTGTCCGGCCTGGGCCTGCACACTTGGCCTGAGAGGCCTGTGCCGAGCATTTAGAAGTGCACCAAGCTCCTGACACACCACTGCGTGTGCCCCTGACACTCCCCCTGGGAGGGCGGTACCTGACCTGTCTTGGTGACCCGGCTGCCGACACTGGCCCCGGGGCAGGGGAAGCCATCGCCTGCACCCTCAGTCACTAGCACCATCAAATGGGGCCCGGCTGAGCCTCATCTTGGCTGCCCTGGGCCCGACTGCAGGCTGAACTACGTGGTAGGTGAGCTACTTGATTCTCCGAGCCTGGTGGGTGTCTTCCCCTGCAAAGCGGGCCTGTGAACGCCCTCCCGACACCCCCCTCGCCCCCCAGCCCTCCACTGCAGCTCTGTGCACAGGGAGGGGGGTCTCCCGGCCTGCAGGGGCTCTGGCTTCAGCAGCCCACCTGGTAGGTTTCTATGGGCCGTGCCTCCATGTTCAGGTCCCAGACCTTGACCGTGAGATAATCCCGGGTGAGCATGTACCGGCCGCTGTGGCTGAACTTGACGTCTGACACGGAGGAGATGATCTCTGAGAAGAAGGAGCGGTTACTGGGGTCCTCGGGTTCCTCAAAGACTGCGGAGACAGAAACAAGCCCTGTCGGCGCAGGGTCCCCACAGCTGGCCCCTCTGCTTCCACCGGGCTCACGACACACCATCACTCGTTCGCTCATCAAATCTGTACTAAGTGCCTGGCAGGGGCCGAGCCGGGTGGAGCCTGCAGGGGCCCAGCTCGGGATGATGTCTGAGTTTTCTCTGAGCCAGGTGCTCTGCCGACTTGCCCATCAGTGCCTCATCAGATCCCCATGAAGGGAAGGTTGGCACGTGCCTATTCCCATTTGCCAGCCCGGGAAACCGAGGCACAGCGGCTAAGAACCACGCCCGAGGCTACAAGCTGGGGTCACTGCCTCCCGCGGGGGACCCGGGAGGGGCACAGTCCGGCATTGGGAGTGCAGGGCATGGCCCGGACGGCAAGCTCCTCCCTGCTCTGACTGGCCTGGGCTCTTTGGTGGCTGGTGCTCAGGGCCCAGGCCTGCCGGGCGCATCCTGCTTGAAGGCCCACAAGGGTGGTGGAATCTCCCTGCCACGGATGGCCACCCCAGCCCCTCTTAGAGCCTTCGCCAGCTGCTGCCCACAGGCAGGCGCTTCCCCCAGTGTGCCCCTGTGGGTCAGGGCCCACCTGGGGCATCACAGGCAGAAGCACCTCCCCGAGCAGGTCCCGCCCGCTGCTCCCAGTCAGCAGGCCTCGGGACCCCTGAGCTCCCTGTGCCAGGGGAGTCACAAAAACAGAAGATGGGGTCTGTCCCCTGCACCCCAACTTTGAGGGGTCTGTGCCCCTCTGCCCCGGTGGGCTCCGCAGCCAGCCTCCCCCCGGACTCAGGGCTGGGGCAGCTCACTTCCCCGGGACCCGTGCAGCTCCTAGCAAGCCTGGCGGGGCTTGCAGAGGCACTGGGGCTGCACAGCAGGTGAGGTTGTGTCTTCCCTCACTGCAGGTCAGAGGTCGCGAAGGTCAGAGGTTAGCAGGGGCCTGATGAATAGGGGGAACACAAGTCCAGCCCCACGTGACCTCAGTGTCCTCGGGCTTTAGTCCTGGGAGCAGGAAAGGGCCAGAAGGCGCGTGGGCCGGGAGGGGCGGCCTGAGAAGGGCCCTCTCCATGTGCGTTTCTTTTAAAACCAAGCGTACGAATTTTTTGATACTGGCTGCACCAGTCCCTGCCGGCCCACCCCTCCCCCACCGCCCCTACAGCCGCACCCCCCCTTAATCAGAGGTAAGGGGGTCCCGCCTCTAATTGAGGGGATCACCAGGGACATTCCACAGTAATTATAGCTGCCGAGACTTAATGAAATGCAGCCCAGCCCCCGCCTCCTGCGGCCCGGGGCCAGCCCTCTGCCTTGCCGGCGTCACCGAGGCGGAGTCCGGAGGCCCAAGCCTCTTTCTCTGCAATAATCAAGACTCTCCGGGTCCTCACTGGTTCCCTGACAAACCCATCGTCCTCTCTGGGGGTCTCAGGTGTCTCTGCTATCACACACGGGGTGGGGCTGGGCGGTGGGGCGTCGGGAGCCCCCCTCTGCCCATGTTTGCCAAAGGGAAGCGCGTCCACAGGTGAAGCCTCCAGACGGCAGCTGCCCTGCTTTCCGCAACCGGAGGCCCCTGGCCGCCTCCCGGGACTGTGAATTAAAACACCTGCGTGAGTTTAAGCACTAAGTTGGCGGGGACTTTAGTAGCAGCCGCAGGAGACAAATGCCCTCATCTGCCGAAGAGTAACGGGCCCAGTCAGAGGGGCCTGTGGGTTTCCGAGCTGTTCGCCTGGCGAGCAGCGGGCACTCACGGAGGTCACCCAGCCGCCGGCACACAGCCGGGCCTCGGGACCTCGACGGTCTGCACCGCCTGTCCTCGGAACTCTCCGCGCCCCCAGCAGTCCTTCCCGGGGGCAGGCTCTGTGCTGTCAAGAGCAGAAATAACTGTCTATTTTGAGGACTCAGGTACTGTGGTTTCCATGGTTACCCTGGCATTATCACGAGCAGACAAAAGACCCGGATTGCTACTGCTTCACAGCAAGGGGCGGGCAGCAGCGCGGGCTCCGGCCAAGCCGCTGAGCAGTCTGGGCCTTGGCTTCCTCATCTGTCCAACGGCAGAAATAACACCCCCTGGTCCCGCATCCCCTTCCTTCAGGGAACAGGAAACCGCGTCTCGCCTCCTGCGGGGCGATGCATGGCCAGCCCCTCCAGGGTCACGGCCAGCCCCTTCCGGGCCTCTGAGCAGTGAGTGGACAAGGGGGTAGAAGCAAGTTCTGATCTCCACGTGTCTTTCAAAAATCAGCTTAAAAAACAACCACTCCTGTTCTGAGGAAAACAACAATGAGCCCATAACTGAGGCCAGCTGTTGGCCTAACCGCTCACGAGAGCTGAGAACAGCGCGCCCGGAAGAAGCCAACAGTCCGACTGCTCTCTTCTTAGAGCCAGATACTCAAGAGGAAGTTTCTGGGTAGGACATTGACTCTGAGAATGAAAAGAAAGTTCTAGAAAAAATTTAAAATACAGCATTTACAATACAAAAATGAACTCCACAGAAAACCGGATGAGCCGAGAATCCAAAAAGATTTACACGTGAGTTTTCCTACAAAAACTCGAGTGATTCCGCTGACTGTTCTAGAAGAAAGCAAAGGGGCCGAGCTCTTCTACAAAAACAGAATAATCTTAACAAAACGGAGCAAAGTGAGTGCAGGCAAAGAAAACTAAAGACCAACCTCCCCTGTGGACCTTTATGCCGAAGCAATTTCTTGGCACCTGTGGGGTAAATGAGGTAAAAATCAGGCTTTTTCCCGCCCTCACGCTGGTGGCCTCCGTGGCTGGCACCTGAAGTCTTGCTCGTGCACCGTGATTGTGGACACGGGGTGGGGGGGGACCCAGAGCACGGGGGGGGGGGAGCACACGTATATAAATGGGCACTCCTGGGCCGAGAGGCAAGGCCTATATGGGCAGTGCCTGAGCCAGAGGAAGCGCCAGAGAGGTGCTGAGGAGCCGGCCCGTCCCCTGGTTCGGCTCTAGAGGCCTGTGGAAATCTAGCAAAGCCTCCAAATTATCCTTTCACCTGCGAGGACCGACCGTGAACCCACCCAGTCTGGGATGGTTGCAAAACTGCACTTTTCTCCCCGCTGTCTCCATAAACGCTTCTGCATTTGCGCAAACACTTCCCGGTGGCAGCGCTGCCCCGGCCTCCCGGGGCGAGCACAGTGGCCAGAAGTAGCGGTATGCCCCCCTTCCAGCCTCTGCCCTGCAAAACAGACCTCCACATGATGGGGCAGGCATTGGCCCGCTCTGGAAAAAAGCTAATGTTTCCCGCACCCTTGGGAGAGGGATGAGAGGCCGACGTAGTGCTGTCGCCGAAAACCAAGTTCCACACCTGGCACTTTGAGTGGGGCTGGTTCTCCTGGCGCTCCTGCACCCCGGGCTGTGACAGCCTCTGCCCAGAACCTCGCCCAGGTGCCCAGTGACTGCGCCCCAGGTGAATGACAACCGTGCAAAAGCCAAGGTGGGCTCTGTGCTCCCTCAGCCACCGAAGAACGTCACTAGAAACGCGTGGGGCCCACGAGGCCAACAGCCCCTCCACGCCCGCCTCCCCGCGACACGCTCTGATGCAGGCTGGGCGCCCACAGTCGACACAGACACGTGCAGAGACGGGGACAGCGGCGCTCTCGAGTCCCACACCCAGGGCTCCCAGGCAGGGACATCCTGCCCGTCGCAGGTGCAACGAGGCCTGGCGGGTCTCCGCAGAGCCTGGACGAGCCGGAGAAGAGCAGCAGCAGATGCAGGGGCGGAGCCGGCCCAGGAGGGAGGTGGAGCTGGAGGCCTCAGCCTGAGCTCCCAGGGGTCCCCTGGGGAAGAGTCAGCCCTTGGCTTCCCTGCAAGACTCTGATAAAGCCCCTCCCGGGCAGACTGGCGGCCACTCATCCATCCATCCATCCATCCCAGGCCCCGCGTCTATACCAGGACAGACTTGGAGGCGCCCCGGCCAGCCCAGAATGCACCCAGGCCAGGCCTCCCACCCGCGGCCCCCTACCGAGTGAAGCCCAGCCCCCACCCCCACCGCGCCCGGCGTGGCCGGACCCCGCATCCCCACCGTGGAGCACTTACGCTTGGAGTGCTTGTCGCACAGGGCGGCCGCCCGCATGTCGCAGAGGCGCAGGGAGCCCTTGCTGCTGCTGTAGACGAAGAGGTTGCAGTGGTGCGGGTGGAACTCCGAGGCGGTGATCACCTCCGTCAGGTCCTCCATGTTGGCCGGCTTGATGTCCACGATGTCTGGGTGGCCCGGTCAAGGAAGGGGCACAGTGGGAGGGCACCTGGCTGCTCTGCCACCCGGAGCCCCAAGACCCATGGTCTCCCGGCTGCCCTCCCACCACGTCTGAGCCCCCCTCCAACACCTGCCCCCACCCACCCGCTGCAGACCTGTTGCTCCCCTGGGGCCTGCGCACTGTCCCCACCGGCTGACTCGCCAGCCCCTCCTGACCTCCGTCCGCTCCCATCAGTGACCCGAGGCGGATGGCGGCTTGCGAGCCTCCCCCACGGGGTGCCAAGCAGATGCGGGGAGTGTTCATGGAGTGCCCAGGCGTGCTGGGCCGTGTGGGCTCTTGGTGGTCGATTTCAGCCCTGCGGTCACTCCAAAGCCCATCAGAGCCACGTGCATGGACATGGCCGCCTCCCGCCCCGCTCTGCCCACCTTCCCTGCTCGCTCTGTCCTCTCTGACAGCAACACCCTCGGTGTCCCCGGCCCTGGGGTCTGCGCCTGCCCTGCCGCCTCCCTTCACCTGCAGGTGGTCCTGGAGTCGGGGGTCAGGGGTTCGGCCTCAGCTCTGCCGCCCCCCTGGCTGTGCGGCCTGGGAATCCCCCGGCTCCCCAGGCCTCGGTTTCCACATCTGTGGAACGAGCCAACAGACCGAAGTCGGGGTTCGTGCCCGCACGGCACAGAGCCAGGGGCGCCGGCCGCCCTCCCGGGCTTCGGCCGCCTGGAAACCCCGCGGAGGCCGCCCCGCCCGCCCCGCGCCCCCCCCCCCCCCGGTTGCTCCCCGTCTCGGCAGGGGAGGCATTTCGGGCCCTAAACAGAGGACGTCGGCGTCAGGGAGGCCGGGCTGGCGCTTGAGCTCGGGGCGCGGGGGGCCCCGGGGTCCCCGAGGCATGGGGGGACGGCAGCGCCGCCGGACAGCTGGTTTCCCGGGAAACCGCGGCTTTGGTGCGAAAAAGCAGAAATGAGTCACGAAAGTCACGGTTTCCGGGAGCGCCCCCCTCGCACCCCGAGTCTGCGGAGGCGCCCGCGTGCCCGGGGCGGCCTCCTGCCCGTGAACTCGAGCCGCACGGGGGTCCGCAGCGGGAGGGCCAGGGGCACAGCACCCCACACACCGCGGCGCCCCGAGGCTGCAGCCCCGCCCGGCACCGCAGGCCCCGGCACCCACGGAGACCGCAGCCCGGGCCCCCACGGGCAGGCCAAGGGCTGGGGGCGGGGCTGGGGCGGGGCTGGGAGGCAGCTGGAGGCGGGGCTGGGGGCGGGGCTAGGAGGCAGGGATTAGAGGGGGGTGGGGCGGGGCTTGGAGGGCTGGGCGGGATTTAGAGGTGCTGGGCGGGGCTTGTAGGGGCTGGGGCGGGGCTGGAGGCAGGGATTAGAGGGGGCTGGGGGCGGGGCTTGGAGGGGCTGGGGCGGGATTTAGATGGGCTGGAGGCGGGGCTTGGAGGGGCTGGGGCGGGATTTAGATGGGCTGGAGGCGGGGCTGGGGCGGGGCTTAGAGGGGGCTGGGGCGGGGCTGGAGGGGCTGGGTTGGGGTGGAGGGGCTGCCTCCCCGCTTGACTGCCCCGCGCAGCAGATTCTCTCCAGGGCGCCGCCTGAGTGTCCCCAAACATGTCCATCGCCCAGTCCCCAGCGACCAAAAGTGACCCATTTGAGGGTCTTTGCAGATGAAACGAAGCCTCTGGAGGAGACTCAGACCCCAGCCCAGGACTACTGTCCTTTCAGGAGACAGGGAGGAAACGCAGAGATGGGGGACAGGAGGGGCGCCCACCAGAAGCCAGAGCAGGGCGCAGTAAGAGCCCCCCGAGCCTCCAGAGGCGCACAGGCCTGCGAACCTCTCCCTGGAAGGGGGAGGGTCTCTGCTTTTGCCCCTTTGTGGGCACTTGTTACGGTGACCACAGGATACTGAGACGCCCAGGCCCCCGGGGCTGGGACAGGAGGCGGGCATGGCGCTGCACACACCTCCCTGCGTCCCCCGAGAGGCTTCCTTCTCTACCCGGGTCTATGCTCGTGGCTCCTCCCACCACTACCACGCTAGGAACTGGGGTACTTCTGGGCTTTCCTTCTCTTTCTGTGGCCAACCAGCCTCCAAGTCCTGGGGCTTTTCACCCCAGGATTCCTCTGCTCTGCCCCTCTGCCCAGGCCATCTCTGGCCCAGAGGGAGCTCCTGCCTCCAGCCCCCCAACCTCCAGCCAGAGTGAACCTCTCAGCCAGGGCTTGGGTCTCACCTGCTACTCTGCTCTGCGGCTGGCTTCCCCACTGTCCACAGTTATGCCTTGGTGGCCGCTCGAGGCCGGTCCCCCGCCCACCCTCACATACTCCTCCCTCCCCACCCTCCAGCCACATCCGACACTTTGAAGTTTCTGGAACATTCTAGGGTATTCTCCCCTGAATGCTGAGGCAATCTGTTCATCCTCTCAGAGATCACCTCCTCGGGCTCATCTGTTGTCCCCCCACCTCAGGGGCCAGCACTAGGGCAGGGACCCCTGCCTGAATCACCTCTGTGCCCCCCACTCCTCGCACACAGCCTGCATGAACAAACACGGACGAGAGGGTCCTGAACCTTCCTGCAAGAACAGTCCTTCCAACCAGAAAGGCTGTCCATTCACGTGCCCCCGCCCCAGCCCAGAAGCAGAAGGTGGCCGATGCTGGCCGGCTCCTCAGCTCCATGGCCACCCCAGCAGCAGGCTGTCCTCAGAACCAGGGGGCCGTGGTTGCAGATCCGCCCTCTCTGGGAGTGACTGCACCTGCACGCAGTACTCAGTGCCCCACGCGTCAGCATCCCAGGGCCAGCTGCGTGCTCGCTGGACTGGCTGGTGTTCTTGGCAAGCTGGTCACTGAGAATGGGCAGGGGTCCAGGGAGAAGAAGGATGCAGATTTGGGCTCCATCGATTTAACAGCGCAAAGCATGGCTTATCCAGATGTCTCGGCAGGAGTCCGCTCTCAGGATGCGGAAAGTCGTTACCATGGCAACCAGGCAGTCACAGGAGGGATGGAGGAGGCAGCTCCGCCTAGGGCCACACCATGAGGGGTCTCTCAAGGCTCCCCAGGGGCGCCAGGTGTGGAGGTGCCCACAGGCCCCCTGTATAGTCTTGGGGGGTGGCCAGCAAAGGTGCTATTTTCAGCAAATTTTCTCCAAGAGGTGACCTGGGTATGATCCTGAGCCGTAAGCAAGGCCAAACCACGTCAGAACTTACAGGAGGGTTCCTGGCAACGTGTGCCTCCGTAGAGATTTATGGGAGCCGCCAGAGCAAATGCCACAGGTGGGTGGCATAAGCCATAGGAGGTGACCTTCTGGGGGCTGGATATCCAAGATGGGGCTGTAGCAGGGCTGGTTCCCCAGGGCCTCCTCCTGGGCACTGGACCCCATCCTCTCCCGTGAGCCTCTGTGGGCATCTGTGTCCTGATCTCCTCTCCGTAGTATGGATCGGGGTCCACCCTAGTGGCCCCACTTCGCCTTCATCACCTCTTTAAAAGCCCAATCTCCAAATACAGTCACATTCCGAGGGGGTGATGGACAGCCCCGGGGGAGGGGAGCTCGGGTCAGCCCTAGAGCGTCCTTCCCGTCTCCACTCAAGATCTTATCAACCAGCCTGGCCCGATCCCACAAGTGGAGGAGAATCCAGACGCAGGGCTGTGTGTGTGTGGGGGGGCCAATCTGCGTGCCCACTCAGTGCCCCGGGAGCCCAGGCTGCTTCCCTGTGAGCCAGCCCACCAGCCAGCCTGGGCGATCCCTAAATTCTCAGGCAGGGAGGAATGCACTGAGTCCCACCTCCCAAAGACCCAGGCTTGACAGTGCACCCACGAGACAGCTGTGTGACCTCTGGGGAACTTCTCAACCCCTCTGTGCCGCGCTCCTCGTCTGCAGAGTGGGCTGACGCGGCCTGCTCCGCGGGGCTGCCGTGAGGATTTAGAGATGACGCGTGACCGAGCACAGGCACGGGCCGGCGCTCTTAGCAACGGTCACAGCCAGTTAAGTGAGAATCAGTCTTTTCTTGCTTGGAAAAAACATGAAGTCAAGCAGATTGCAAAGGTGCAATGTTCGTCATCCTGGAAGGTCCCCGGGGCTGTGCAGGCTGTATGCCTGCAGGTCTAAGAGCTGGCAGGGAGGCGAGGTGGGGCGGAGCCAGACGCACAGCACTGGTTCGTTCTTGCAGCTCTGAGAAGGGGGAAAACAGACCCTGTCCTGACTACTCCAGGCTCCTAGTGCAGGAGGGAGCCCAGACGCCAGTCTCTGGACTGATGCCCCAGGGGAGGCACACAGAGGCGCATGCGGGGGTGTGTAAGGAGCCCCTGAGCGGCCTGCAGGTGGGGAAGGGCCCTCCGGGCAGAGGCGTAAAACTGAAGCCTCGGATGAGCAGGAGAGCCAGGGTAGGTGTGGGGGGGCGTATGGCTGAGGACCTGCAGGGGCAGGTGCTGGCATCCATGAGGAATAGGAGGTAGGAGACAGGGCTCCGGCAGGGATCAGGGCGTCTTCATCAGAAGTATGTTCTGGAAATGCCATGGGGCCCGGCAGGAGGGATCTGAGCCCCGGAGCTGCACGCCCATTGTTGGAGGGGCTGCGGGCAGCATCATATATTGTTGCACATGTTGCAGAAATCCGTTCGGTGTGAAAAACACTCGCTTCCCTCACTATCTAAAGCAGGGGCCAGAAAAGCACGTCCTTGGAGCTGGTTGGGGTCTGGATGCCGGCTGGGAGAGCAGGTGCAGTCTGAGTCCATGCCAGTGGGGGCAGCGACAGCACCGCCCAGTGAGCTGTTGGGCACCCGCTGCAGGGACATCCTGCTGGAGCTGCAGCCCGAGCACCAGTCACAGGGGCCAGCGGGGGTGGGGGGCACGGAATGGGTGTCTGCCTGGCTCAGGGCCTGGCCTGTGGAGGGCGCAGTCCTGTGCTCTCTGCATCCCCGCCCCGAGAACAAGCCAGGCCCACGGGCAGCCCCATGCAGGGGCAGCCTTGGCGCCTCCTGCCTGCAGGCCGCCCCAGCATCCAGCCCAGCGTGGGACCTGCCCTGCACACGGGAATTAGAAATTTGTTCCAGACCAAGGCTTGGTGGGCTGCCAGCTTCCACCATGAGAAATGGCTCAAGGGGGAGAAAAATCAATGGAACCATCTTTAAAATTCTCCAGGTGCTAAAAATAAAGCAGCCGTACATCAGCTGAGGTGTCCTGTGCCATTTGTTACCCTTAAGACGCATCCAACTTGAGAAAAATCACGCAGCGCTGCCTGACAATCTCAAAATGTTGGTACTGAGGCACGTGAGAGGTGGTTCAAACAGATGTTGACACGGCACCAGGGGAACGGAGCTTTAGCGATCAGGAGAGAGGCGGGGGTTTGATGGCGAACACTGGAGGGGCTGTTGTTTCAGAGGAAGAGAACCCCGGCCAATTGTAGGCCCTCTGTGGAAATCATCTCTTTACTCCTGACAAACAAGCATCCTACGACGAGGACTCCGGCCCGCTTTACAAAACTCATGGAAATTGGCCCCGGGGGTTAAGCCACAAAGCCGAGCTCAGTTCCCTAAGCCGGGCTCCTGGTCAGCGTCTGTGCCTGGGGTCCCGGCTTTCCTGGGATGGCCACATCTGAGACCCCACGAACTAAGCTGACCAGCGCCCCAAAGCCCCCACCCGCCCCAGTGCAGGCATTGTAAGCACGCCAGTGGGGGCCCTGCATCGCGTGCTGGGGGTGCAAAGGGCTCCGGCTGCTGCTGATCACAGGGCTTCACCAGAATATGGGGGAAGTGGTCACATGAACGGACAAGGAAAGCCAGCCCGGGAGGGGGCAGAGTGGGCAGAGCAGAGGTGACCGCGCGGAAGGGACTGTGGGCCAGTGGGGTCATCCAGGCTGTCGGGGGAAGGAACAGAGAAGGTGGGCACTGCCCCGAAACATGAAGCCCGGGGACTGAGGCCAGGCCAGCCCAACGTGCAGTCCCAGGGGAGGTGGGCGAGGCCGGTCACCAGGAATCCACTGGGGGACTCGGACTTCCCCACAAGCTGCGGGGCAGCCAGTGGCGGCTCTCAGCAGGGGGCCCACGTGGTCACACCGGGGTTCCCATGGGCTGGGCCGGCGCCATCCACACGGTGCGGACAGGACAGGCGCGGCCCGAGCCTTTGGTGGGGAAGGCCAGGCGGGCATGACTGGACACTGGAAAGGGCCTGGTGCCTCTTTCTACTTGTGGGTGTGGAAGAGGACGGAGGCTGGGGGTTGGGCCATAGGGGCACCCCACGGCGGCGCAGCTCGGGTCCCAGGAGGCTCCCGCGCTCCACTCAGAGCTGCTGAGCCTGCCATGCGCAGGGAGGGGCTCTTGTGGCAAAATGGCCGGACAGCGCCCAGATTCCTCCCTTATTAAAAATGTTTTCCTTCTAAAATCTTTGCTAGAAACCAATTTTGCTTAAGTGGAAAGTGTCAGCGCTTGGCCACAGGAGACGGTGATGGAGCCGCAGAAAACGTCGGGGGCCTTGAGAGCATCAGGACACGGCGCGGCACGGGGAGCAGGGGCCCGATGGGTGGGAGCCCCCGTCCAGACCCAGGCCCCACCCGCTGCGCGCGCAGGCTGCCGGCCCCGGGCCTCCTCAGGTGGCTCAGAACTGTCCCCATCTGACAGCTGGGACCCCCCAAGCGGTTCTTGCTCAAAGGGGCTCACCACTGCGTGATTCCCCAGCTCAGCGTGGAGTTGCGGCCGCCTCACTGGTGCCCTCCCGTGCTGGAGATGAAACGCCCTTTCCAATGACTCAGCGGATACCAGGCCCACCCTCGCACCTGCACCCACAGCGACACCGTCTCTCTGCCCGAAGGCTGGCCACGTGCAAGGTGGCGCCCTGAGAGTGGATCTAATCGGGGGGACCCCCAAAGCCCCACAGCCCCTGGACACGCCCCAGCTCCTTCCATCTGCCTAATTGGTCCTCAGGCTCCGCCAGCGAGAGCCACCTTGAGTCCCGAGCTTTCTGCAAGAGGCCCATGCCCTATCTCGGCCAAGTGACAACGCGTTTCCACAAGATCAGACGCCACACGCAGGCTCAACACAGCCACACGGCAGGATCGCAGCCAGAGCTGCAGGCTTCCAGGCGAGCCCCGCTCCCCGGCGGCCCCTGGCCGCTGGCCCGCGCCCGGCCTGCTTCTAGGGCGGGGTACCCTTCACACTGCTGCACCATCAGCACGTCTGCAGGCCCCTGGGCACGCTCTCCACCTGCACTGTTTCCCAGTGACCACCCACAGTCCAGGCTCCAAGTGACACGTGGCCAGTGGCCGCCACACTGTCCACACTCCCACTATCACAGGAGGCCCCTGACCGGGCTGGCGGGATGCACGGCCCCTTGGGCTTGGGGTATGGGACACGCTTTATCTCCACACATGGTGGCGAAATTACACTCCCTTTCAAATGCATTTATTAAAATAAAGCCTCTTGATTTAAAGAAAACTAGGAGAGCCTGGGAAAGGACACCTGGGTGCAGGTGCAGCTTGGGCAGGGGGTGAATAACGCTCCCTTGGGGACCCAGGCCCCAGGAGAGTTCACACCACACCTGCAGGCTGATGCTGCCACCCCTACAGCCCTGCTCGCTCACACGCCCTCCTGCTCCCCCAAGTTCTCGGCAGCTGTCCTGACTGAGCCTCCCCCTTGGCCCTCCCTGGGGGCCCGAGCTGCCCCGGGCCACAGCAGGGGTGCCCCCCGCACAGTGGCTGCTGGCCTCCCTTACTCTCAGTCCCTCAGGCCATCAGCATGCCTCTTTCTCTCCCTGGAAACCCCCAGACTGTGCTCTCCTGCTCCCCGACTCCCTCCCAGTCCTGGTTTCTGCTGAGGGACAAGCCCCCCCTCACTCCTCTTCCCACAACACACCTGGGCACATAACTGCTCTGCAGAAGAGTGGGCTTAGCAAGCTGCCCGCGCTGTCCCTGGCCACCCTGTTCAGCCAGGCCTGGGCCCTCCCTGGGGGAGGCCCCTGTTTCAACAGTTCTCTCCTCGCCCGTCAGTGTGGCCTGGCTCCATCCTGCTACCCTGAGCTCACAGACACAGGGGACACCCCACCAATGACTCTGGCCAGCTGGGCTCTGACACCGGTGGTCACTCTGGGCACTGGGGGGACCCCAGGGTAGATTCATCCCCTTCGGGTCCCAGGAAGAGGGCCCAGAGGGACCTGGGGCTTTCCACCAGGTGGGCCCCGTGACCCCTCCCGGTGAGGCCCCAGGACGACGGCCATGATGACCACCTGGAGGAGGCGCGGGGTTTTCACAACAAAACTCAGCCCGACCCTGGCGCGGGCCTCACTCACACTCCACGGGCAGGTTCTTACTGCAGAGGGTGCGGAGCAGAGCCCAGGCCCACTGGCCGAGCCCCAGGCAGCCGTGGCGCCGCCAGGCAGGATACTGAAGCTCCTGTCGGTGATGGCCAGGTGCCACAGGTTGATGCGGAGGTCGTCGGCCGACATGTAGGTCTCGCAGTCGCTGTTGACCGAGATGGAGTTGATGTGGTAGGTGTGGCCGTTGGCGAAGACCCTGCGTGGGCTCACCTCCACCATCAGGTCCATGGGCTTCAGCACGGGCACCTGCAGGGAGGCGAGCGTCAGGGCAGGCCCCTGGCCCACAGCTGCGGCAGGGAGGGCGCCGGTCGGTGTCCAAAGCCAGGGCCCGGACGCGCCAGGATCGCGCCCATCACAGCCAGCATCCACCGTGGCCAGCACTCACCGTGGCCAGTGCCCACCAGAGCCAGCGCCCACCACCACTGCAGGAAAGCCCACCTCCTCGGCTTGGCCTCCTGGGATCGGTCCTGAGCCCAGCAGGAGACTGAACAAGGACACCTGGGGCTGTGACGTGATCTCGTTAAGCCTCAGTCTCGTCATCAAAATGGAAGGAGCCCTGGATGTGCTGAGTCACCCGGCTCTGGAGAGGCCTGCAGCCTCGACATCTCACTGGGCTTGGCCCCCCACCCCCACCTTCTGGCAAAAATGATTCCGCCAGGCCTGGACACAGCTACTCACCCATCCCTCCTGCCCACTGCCAAACCAAACCACATTTCAACGCCATTAAATAAAGGAGCAGAGGAGAGCAAAGAATCCTGCCAGGAGCCTTGGGCATTTCATGATAAAACATGCCCCCCCACCCTTCCAGAAGCCAGTCTGGTCAAGGGGAGGGGAAAAGGGACCCACAAACCCTAGGACAGGAGCGTGTAGGATACAAAAGGCCAGAGAACCCCCAGAGGAGGAGAAGGATTTCATCTGGCTTGTGCAGAAGAGTCTTCCCAGTGGTGAAGGCTAATGGGGTTTTAAAGGGTCTACAGGAGTTCTCCAAATAGACAAGGTGGAGAAAGCTGCCCCTGTGGGTTTGTCTGCCACAGCACTGACCACGAGTAGGGGTGACGCCATATCTGTTTCTCTTGGGGGCGGGGTACACTTTGGGGGTGGTACTACCTTGCTCACCCCTGGAACCTGGGGACCTACACAGGGTGGGCACTCAGCTGCCTGCCACGTGAATGGCACAGCGGGAGGGGAAGCTGTCAGGGTTGAGGAAGAGAGGGTGAGACGAGGAGGAAGTAAGGTACGAGGGAGACAAGGAGCGCCGGTGTCCTGTCCCCACATCTCCTCTAGTCTGTATACCGTTCGGTGCTGGAACTTGTGTGCCACACAGAGAAATCTCTCAGATGCTGGAGGGAAATAAACAGGCTTCCCGGGGCCAGTGGCTCTGCCCCCAGCACCGGGCACATCATGAGGCCATTGCCGCGTCCCTCCGGCCAGAGGCAGCCTCCTAAGCGATCACGGGGCTGGGGCCGGTACTGCCGCTCTCAGAAGTTAACCGGCGTCCGCTCTGAGCTCATCCGTGCCACCTGCCAGCCACTGGGAGGTCAGCACGTCCGAACATTAATTTTTCTGTCTTGGGAATGACACTGATCACTGCTGCTTATTTATGTCAGCGCACTGGCAGTTGCCCCCACGCCTGCTAAGTCGTTTTAGAAAAAGCCAGCGATGGGCTCCATTGCGCTGGGGGGAAACTGAGGCATGGCGGAGGGCCGCGCTGCAGAGTGGGAGGCGGGTCTGGGGACAGTCTTGGGCCTGAGGGAGGCGCCAACTCCACCCCAGGCCAGGTGCACCAACCTGCTCCCGTCAGGTCAAACAGGGAGGCCGGGTGCCACGTGACGTGGCGTGGCCTTTTAAACCAGCGAGAACATGGAAAGCTGAGACCGCGGCCACCTCCCGCTCCGCCGTGGTGACCCGCACCAGCCCGCCCCAGGAGCCTGGACGCCAAACAACTCAGACCTGATCCCAGCTCAAGCTCGGGGTTTGCTCTACCTCCCAGGGCCTAGAGCAGGCAGCGCACACAGTAGGTGCTCAAGAAGCGTGTGCTGGCTGGACAGCCTGAGCCTGCACCGCGGTCAGCAGCTGGGCAGGCACCGGCGAGGCCCAGCACCGTCCAGGAGCCAGGACGGACGAGGGGCCCCGGGCCTATCTCCCCGCTGAAGGGAGGGGCCCGACCTCTGCGAGCCCTCCCAGCCCCACTAGCCGCCCCGGCCCCGGGAGTCAGGGCCCATCCCCACGTCACACAGTGAAGCAGCCTCAATGGCCAAACGGCTCCAGACCTGAAGACACACAAGAAGAATGTTCCTCCCGGTGACGGGGTTGACAGACAGGGCCTGGACTTTTTCTGCCCCAGCCGGCGCATGACCACCCCACAGTCATCGTGGCCAGGGCGCGGCTGACCCCGGCTCAGCTCCCACAGGTTCCCCAAGCCCGAGAGCCCCTGTCATTCAGTAACGAGCCCACAGGTGCCCCCGCGCCCGCCCTTACCTGCAGCGATGTCACCGTGGACAAGTCCTTGAGTTTCCCTTCCTCATCCTTGAGGTTATAGCCCTCGGGCCTCTTGTCTCGTTCGGTGATCTTCCATAATTTGATAGTTTTATCTTTGAAAATAGCAAAGCCAACAGGACAGGCCTGAGCACCGGCAGCAGGAGCGGGGGCTGCGCTGGTGCCTGGTCTGCCCCTGAGCTCCGCGGCGGCCTGACCAGGGGCCCCGCCCACGGGCGCCGGCCCTCCTCTGCCATCCCCACAGCTGATCAGAGGCTGGGGCTCCTCAAGGAGTCCGCAGCCCTAGGCTGACCTCCAGGGGGGCCGAGCAGCTTCCTGCTTCAGGCCCCGGTGGCAGAAGAGACCCGCTACCTGCGCAGCACCCGGCTCTCCCGCAGCCTCGCTCCCCGGGCCCAGTCCAGAACATCCAGAGTGTCCTCGCGAGCAGCCAGGCTGGCGCGTTTCCTGTGTCGCCTTGGCTAAGCCACGGCCCAGCTGCGAGGGCAGCGTGTGTGGGCGCTGCCTGAGTGTTTCTTAAGTGAGATTAACATTCAGACCCAGAGTCAAGCAGACGGTGCTCCACGCTGCGGGTGGGGTCGTGCAATCAGCTGAAGGGGGGGGCGGGGGACCCCAGGAAGAGGGAGCTCTCCTTGGACTTGAGCTGCACCCTCTGTGCCTCCCTGGCCTCCAGTCTGCCCTGCGGCGTGTGGACTTGCCCAGCCTCTCCAGGGCGCGAGTCAAGGCCCTGAAATAACCCCGTCTCTCTGGGACCACAGCTACATGGATGTGGGTCTACACACACGTGCACACACACATACGCACGCACGCGTGCCCGCGGGGCCGCTCACCGTTGGTGGACAGGAGGGAGTGGGCCGCGTTCTGCTGCGGGAGCCATTTGATCTTGTTGATTTTCTCCTCTATCTCCAGGCTCTTGAGATAGTCGAACTCGGGCTCGTGGCTCTGGAAGGTGCTGTAGACGTCATACTCGCCCTGGCTGTGCGGCGCGTTCTTACTCTGCAAGGGAATCCGAGAAGGGGCTGAGCTCCGGGAGGGCGGGCGGGCCGGGGCTGTCAACCCGCCGAGGGGCCGACCGGCCGTGGTGACCGGCGCCCAGCGGGGCAGCGGGCCCCTCGCCGGGGTCAGAGGAAACTGCACTCTCAGTGGCCAGGGACGTGCTGCGTGCTGGTGGCCAAGCCCAGCTCCCTGGACAGAGGAACAACCGCAGCCAGGCTGGCCCGGGTACGTCAGGCTCCGGCCCTCTCTCTGGTGCGCACCCACCTCCCACCACCCCACAGAGGTCACCTGACTCCCGCTCCCCGAATCCCAGAGCCGCCCTCAAGCCCCGTGCCCGCTCGGCCCGGCTGGAGAACCCGGCACGTTTTACGCAGATTTCACGCTGGGCTGGAACAGGCGGAATGCCAGGCCTGCTCGGAAAACCTGAAAATTCTACATTTTTCCGCAATTCATTTCCTCTCCTGTGACAAAGGTCAGCACGGCCAGAATTAAGAGACGAATTAAAGTAGACCGAGGAAGCTGCCACGGCCCATTTCATTTCTTTCTGCAACGTGGCGAAAAGAGGGCTTGGCTTCGCCGTCCCAGGGGAGTCGCTCAGCCCCTCCGGGGAATCAACCGGCTCCAGGCAGCGCCGTGTGTGGCAGCAGTTTCCACCGTCCACGCTGGCCTGTGTGTCCTTGCCGAGCTGATGCCAACCTCTGAGCCGGTCGCCTTCTCTGTCAGCCGCGTGGCACCGGCACCGGCTTGCCCCAACAGGGCGGAAGGGAGGGAGGATCCTGGGGCCATCCAGGGGGAGTGACACCTTGAGGGGGTCCTCCAGGAAGATGCTGGGCAGAGGAGGACCCCAGAGGATCCCGCAGCTCCTCCCGCCTCCCTCCTGCCATCATCCTCTCTCCTCCGCTCCTCGCTTCCACCCATCCTGTCCTCAGCCTCTAACTCCAGCACGGCTGCCCCCAAGGCGGGTGGTCCACACGGGTGGGCTTCAAGCCCTCCTCTTTGCTCACTAGCTGGGGTCTCCTCCCAGTGCCCTCACCTGTAAAGTGGGGTGTGGGTCCCCATCCTTCAAGGGGGCAACACACAGTGAATGAGAAAAGTATACAGACAAGGTAGCGAGGTGCCTGCACACAGTAGGTGCTCAACAAACAGGGGCCTCTTCATCAAAAAAGGTGCCCCGGAGCAGGTTAGGTTGCTCCAGGTGCCCTAGCCCACCTGGGAGTCTGCTGAACAAGCCCCGTTGGGCCCGAACCCAGGGCAGAGTAAGCCAACCCCGCCAAGGGCCACCGCAGCAGCTGCAGAACACTCGGTCCTCCCACCCGGCTCTGGACGCGTCCTCCCTGCCCCGGCTCCCCGGGCAGCGCCTGCCCGCCCAGCGGAGGACGGCTTAACCGGAGGCTGGGCTCACGCAGCCGTGGTCAGTGAGAGGCTCGGCCCGGGCAGCAGCGGGCTCTGCCTGTCCCGTCGGTCTCTCTGGGGTCCCGGACACAGCCAGCCGTCAGCAGAATCGTTGAGCAGAGGGAACTCGGAAAGCGGTTTTGGAGCCGGCCCGGGGGACCCCTCCCTGGACCCGCCGGGATCCGTCCCCGCGTGCCGGAGCACCCTTCCACCCCGCGCGGGGGGCCAGCGGGGAGGCTGGCAGTTCCTTAGAGAGGAGGAGACGCAGCCCCAGGAGGGTGCTGCTCAACAGTGGGGTTGGGCCCCCCACCACCCCGGCAGGCCCCGCCGCACCTCTGGTTCCCGCTGGAAGATGACCACGCGGCCACCCTTGTCGCCCGTGGCCAGCAGCTCTCCGGTGTGGTTGAACTCGACGGTGGAGATGATATCGGCTGGAAGGAAGGAGACAGGAAGGCGCGCGTCAGGGCGCGGGCACGGAGTTGAGCGCACAGCCCGCCCTCGCTCCCGGGGCCCCACGCCCCCACTGGGCTGGTCACCACGGGGCAGCAGGAGCCCGAGGGGCGGGGCTGGTCGGGGTCCCCTCCGGCCCCTGCCTGCTGGCTTTGGACAGAGGCCTGCTCGTGGGCCAGGCACACCGTCTCTCCCCGCCGCCCCTCCCTGCTCCCGCTGCTCCTTCCGGGGCAGTTTGGGGCTTCCTCACGCGGACCTCAGTCTGACACTGACTCAGTTCTGGGGCCACGGAGACCAACTGCACCCCTCCCTGCCCAAGCCCCCAATTCTGCGTGCAGGGACGGCCCCAATTCCGCACACATCTGGCCCGGGCTTGCAGGCCGCCAGCCCTGCCCCAGGATGCAGCACGTGATTCTCTCCAGACCCGGAGCTGACCCTCCTCCCGGTGGCCCCAGGCGGCGGCTTTGCCTGCTCCTGCCCCAGATTCTGCTCTCCTTACAGCCAACAGGGCCATGATCACCTCCTAAGTCATGGGGTGTCTTTACTCAAAACCCACCAAGGACCCCAACACCAAACCCTGATCCCTCCCCAGCCCCAGGCTGCAGACGCCCCATCTCGGTGGCAGCGGCCCCACCCGTCCCCGGCTGGGGAGCCAAGCCCTGGAGTTTCCCTGACCTGCCCAGTCCTCGACCACACCCAGTGCTGCCCCAGGAATGCACAGCCACCCCCACATGGGGACAGCTGTTGCAGGCGCCTGATGGGTTTGGCTTTCTCCCTGCCCAGGGGCAAGCTGACCTCACATGCACCCGGAGAGGAACCACCCCCAAGCCCGGGTGGTCTGAAGCTTGAGGGAGGTGGGATCTGCGGCCCCAGGGAGGCCGCCCGGAGCCCAGATCCTCCCCCTCTCCCGCACCTGCTCACAGACTGGGCTCTGCCCCGCACCTGACCGGGGAGCCACCTCCCTCCCCCCAGGACCTTGGCTCTGTGATCTGCACTGGCCTGGGGTACACAACAGACACACTGCCAGCCTGCGCCTCCAGAGTGCCCGGCAGGACCTGACCAGGCTAGCCAGGGAGCGGGCGGCAAGCACAGCAGAGCCACCCCACCACGGCGGCCCCGGCAGGGCCCAGGTCACCCACCCGCACGCCCAAGCCCGCCTAGCGCGCAGGAACCGGCGGGGCCAGGTAAGGGTGATTATTGCTGAGTGCCAGGGCGCGTCACGCTCCACAGCCCCATGGACACAAGTGACTCTCGCCCCAGCCGCGCCACCCACCGCGCTCCAGACCCAGCTCCTCGCTCTCTCTGAGAAGTGCCAGTCACCTTTGGTTTCAGGACCCGTTCCCCACATGGGGGCATCCACTGCCCATCAGTAAGCGCCCTGTGAGCCCCATCAAAGGCGCTCTGGCCCCGCACTGCCGCCGAGCCACAGGCCAACACGAGCCACAGGCCAACACGGGCTCCGTGTGAAGGAGAGAGGCGGCTCAGAGCCAGGCAGGAGCACGGCTCGTCAACTCCAGGACCAGAGGGAAGAAGCCGTGGGAACACGTGAATGCGGCGGAGCGTGGGGTGCAGGGTGGGCACCCTGCCTGCCACCGAGGCCCGTGGGCACCTGCCCAGGCCCAGGAGAGCCATGTGCCGGAGCCGCGCCAGCCGTGCGGCCCCCCGTGGCCCTGTCCTGTTACTTCCTATGAGCACCCCTCCGGGGAAAAGGCCAGGGTATAAAACCGCAAGTAAAATGTTTTTTAATTATATAGACCAGTGATCACAGGCGGGCTAAACAGCAAACAAGCTGGGCAGAGAAGCCCGGAGGATCCTCACCCTCTTTAGAGAGGCAGCTTTCGGGGGCTAGGAAGGAAGAGCTATTTCCTCCCTGCGACTTTTCTAGATTCTCTGCCATGCATGTATTTTTAATAGCGCTCGTGCGGTGTAATTGATATACACAATGCACATGTTTAATGTATACAACTTAATGAGTTTGGATATATGCATAATGTATATTATTTTTACGATGGAAAAATAACAATGCCATTAAATTTAAATGCCAACGCAACCATTGTACCCAGAGCAATTGCCATCCATAAATGTTGGGCGGTTACCACAGTAACAGACACCAGCGTCTACGGGCAATTTACAATTTATATGTCAGTCTCCTATCCCCGGCCTCCTCTGAGCCTCATGCTGCCCTGGGGGCAGCCGCGACCACATTTCATGGCAGCTCCACAGTAACCAGCTCCAGAGCCACCGGCTGTGTGGCCATGGCTGGTCACGCCACCTCTCTGGGCCTCTGGCCGTGGCGAGGTGGACAGTTGGAGGGGGACGTGATGTGGGAGCGGTGAGTGACCACACTCACCAGGCAGTTGCTTCGAAAGCTTTCCTCTCCAGCCCCCCGTTTCTGGCCTTGGCAGAGTTCACTGCAGCCAGCTCAGAAGGATGCCAGACGAATCCTGACTCCCTCTCTCAAGGAGAAGCCGGAACGGTCCCGAGTGGCCAGCCCCACGGCTCCAGAGACGGCGGCCAGGGCAGCGGTGAGGGCTGTAGTGCGCCCCAGGAGGTAGTGAGCTCTCGTCTCAGACACCCGTGACGGTGACCAGATTTAGAGGCAGGGTCTTTGGAGTGACTGCAGGAGGGCGCAGGCCCAGTGGGTCATAGTGGGCCCTAAGTCCACGGACCCCCGAGAAGGCTGTGGAGAAACACACATGGGGTAAAGCCCGGGACCAGGGAGGCTGAGCCGAGCCCCGCGCCCGCCAGCCAGGGTGTCGAGGATGGAGACAGGCAGGAGGCGGGAGAGGCCTGGAGCTCGTGTTCCGGAGGGAGCCGGACTGCCGACACCCCGGAGTGAGGCTTCAGCCTCCAGAGCCTCCAAAGGAGATGCTGCTCGAAGCCACGGGTCAGAGGTAGCGCGTCTCGGCTGTGCGGGCACACGGAAGAGCGCTGCCGCGAGAATGGGGCAGGCCCAGCACTGCCGCGCCAGGATGCCCGCTGGGCTGTCACGAGGAGGGAAGCGGAACTGTCTCAGCCCCGGAAGTGCTGCGTGACCTCACCCAATCGCACGCCCTCCGCGAGCCCTAAGTCCCGCTGAAATCAACAGGAATTGGCTCCGCTGCCAGGTTACAGTTCTCCGAGCGTTTACTTCACATTCAAATGACTCTGGGCTGCAAGGTTCCCTGGCAACTCTGGCAGAGGCTGCAGACTCAAGGGGGGGTTCATGCTCGTGGGGGATCCCTGCCCTGCCTGTCCATCACTGCCCGTCACCGTAAGTGCTGCCAACACCATCAATGACCCATCAGCCTCGGAGGAGCTCACGGGCCGCTGACAGGACTGTCCATTTAATCAGCCGCCAGGGGGAGGGGGCAAGGGGACAGTGTGGGGTGGGTGGGGGTGGACACTGGGCATCCCCTCCTGGACATGACCTGGTGAGTAAATGACCAGCACCTGCCCCGGCCGGGCCCGCAGCAGGCCGAGGGAGGCCCAGCGCCCTGGAGGTGTGAGCACACAGCTGCGGGAGGTGAAGGGCGGGCGGGGTTCCAGAGGGCCCTCCAGAAACGAATCACGGGAGTAGGGCCTCGAGGAGCAGGAGGCCGACGCATGGCCCCCAAGGAGGGGGCTGGCCGCTCCTCCCATTCAGGGGCCTGTGGGCCCACTGGCTGCTGCCCCAGCCCGAGACCTGCTTTGGCCAACGGAATGTGGGGGAGGCGAGGGAGGGTCCCGAGCCCGGACCCCAGGAGGCCTGCGTGCCTGGCCCCCATGGACGCCCCCCAGGGGCAAGCCGGGCAGCTGAGGAGATGCCTGTGGTCAGCAGCACTGGTCAGGCCAGGTGAGATTGAGCCCACAGTGGGGGCAGGGCCCCAAACCTGACTTGGGCACAGGCCTGCAGTAGCCCTCCCTCAACCAGACCCCTGTAGGCCCTCCCAGGGGGTCAGGCGGCCGAGGACAGCAGGTGTGGGCACCGAATAAGGGGACTGGAGAAAAGAAAGCGGGCAACTCGTGGGGTATGTTTATGGGTGCAAACCAGTCACAGAACTTCTGGATGTGGATGGAAAGGAGGAGGGAGGGAGGGCCTAAGAATGATATTCTGGGGGCGTCTGGCTTTGAGCCCCACCCTGTCCTTGCTGCCACTTCACTCCTTGAGCCTCCGTTTCCCCATTTGACTAGTGGGGAGGCTAAGGGTCGTGCATATGGGGGCTCTGCGCACTGTAAGGGGGGTTGCCCCAGCCAAGGAGGTTGGGGTGAGGCCGGAGCCTGAGTCTGAATCACATTGACAGCGCGTCTGGGCCTGGCCAGCTGGCCCGGGCTGCCTCCCGAGGGCCCGTCCTCTCGGCTCAGGCTGTGGCCAGCTCCAGGCCCCAGCCAGGGGGCAGCAAGCAGGGCCAAGTGGCCAGATGACAAGGACAGCTTTCGGGTCTCATTACATCAGCACCTCCATCAGACCCCACCCCCTCTCCTGCTCCAGGCTGCTCCAGGCTGCTCCAGGCTGCTCCAGGGCCCAGGCGCTGGCTGGGCACTGAGGTCATGGCTGGCAGAGCTGGAGACTGCAGCTGCCTCCCTCTGGCCTCCTGTCCTCTCCGTTCCCAGAGTAACAGGAGCACAGGACCCACAAGGTGTGCTCACGAGTCCCTAGTGCTGGGTCCACAATAGTGCAGTGTCACCGGCCGGTGAGTGGCCAGACCGTGATGGCGCCACGCCGCAGAGCACCGCTCAGCAATAGAGAGGACCAGCTAGTGACCCACGAAACAATAGGCTAATCTCAAAACAGCTATGCCATGTGGAAAAAGAACATGCCCTGTATTGACTCATTTGCATGAAATTCTAGAAAGTACAAACTAACATCCAGTGCCAGAAAGCAAACCAGTGGCTGTCGCAGCAGGGGGCAGGCGGGGAGGGACAGCGCCTGGAACGGGGGCACTTGAACACGTGGACGTGCTCAGAACCTTCGTTACGGTGTCAAACTACGCGGCTCTATGTTCTAACCAGGTGCAATTTA